TGTTTTATTATTTTAAAGAAAATTTGAATTAATGGTGTACAAATTAATGATTTTTTTTTCAAACTACATATGTACATACATATTTGCCATGATTAAATTTTAAAATGATGAAATAATTTTGAAAACTGTTTATGGCGGAATTACTAATTTCTTAAATTGGTTTTTGTTTTGCTATTTTTGCAACAAATGGTTTAAATTTTATTACAAAATTGTTATTTTTTTCTGTATGACTTTTATATAAATATAATAAAAATATATTGTAATACAAAGTTGCCGTTTATTGAACTTGAGTGAATTTATAATTAATTTTCCAATAAATTTTTGATAGTTACTTATTTGATGATGATAAAAGAAATGTTTTTGGTGTTAGATTCATTGTGATTTAATATTACTTTTCGACTTAGTAAGTCTAAAATTTTAAGATGTTTCCTAAACTTTAAAATAATTTTAATTCTGAATTAATGAATTTTTCTATCTTCCATATAAATAATTTTTGAAATTCTCTTTTTCAATTGCTTAACATGTTTCTATTTAAAATGTTATCTATGCAGATAACAAGATATTAAAATATTTCCAGTCTTTGTATTAGATTATTTCTGGCTTTTATTGTAATTTAATGATATTTTTTTTGATCCATCTATAGATTGTGATTTCTTTATTTACCTTTTTTTTCTAATTCACTCAAAGTCCTTGCTTTCGCTATGAGGTTTGTGTCGTCAGCATACATTGTATATTTTGATATCATATTACAAATTGAAATATTCATAAAATATAATAAATACAAAAGTGGTTCTAATAGAGATCCTTGTGGTACACTCGTGTTTATAAGCAACTGATTGCTTAACATATTTTTGACTCTCACACTGTGCATTCTATTATGTAAGTAACTTTTGAATAAATTATTTCCTGTGGCTCTAATTGAAGAAAGTCTTAAAGTCGACGATGATTAATCACATCAAATGCTTTACTTAAGTCAATAAATGAACTCGCAACGTAATATGACAAACTTACCACTTTAGTTTTCAAATGTCATTTTATTTAATTAAAATTTATTAAAAAAATAAGTTAAAAAAATATAAGTAGGTTAAAAATTAAAAAATCTTTAAAATTTCAATTAAAATGAAATTTAAGTTTTAACGTAGTTTTCGCTTACAATACCATACCATTATCAAAATTTGATTACCCCGGAAAGGATGATTTGTAACAACTACAAAAAAAATTACAAAAACAATTTTTTGTTCCAACATACGAAAAGTAAGAAGAAAATTTAAAAAATCTTGGAATTTTTTGTATATTTCTCTTCTTCAATTATTTTTGTGTGTATGTACATTTATAATTTTAACTTACTAATTGCAAAGAAAAAATCAAATTTTCCAAATGACTTGACAAATTTAAAAATTATTTTAATATCACGAATAACAAATTTATTCTCAATTATTTTGTATAATTATTGGCTTTCTAATATTATTTTTGCCAAGATAATGGTTTGAGACATAATTAATTGAACCACATGTATATGACCCAATTTGTTGATCTTCATAGAAATAGATATACACGCCAATAACAGTAATTTTTTTTCAAAAATCATGATATTTGATCAAACTTATTATAAATTTTCTATTAAATTAGTATTTTGCAATTTAGTCCAATTTAGGGAAATTTTTAATTTATGATCAATAATTATTAATTTTATATTTCTATTTGATTTCTATTTGAAGTGAGACGAGCATGGACGAGATGTCGAAGATTAGCATCAGGGATTTCGATAAATTCCTCAAGAGAACGGGATGGCTTGGATAAGCAACCTGTAATCGTACGCTCAATAGCGGTGCAAAACGTTAACCAATCAACCAAACAGGTTCTCAAACTTATAATATCAAAGGTATATTCTTGTTAATTAATTTAAATCTGCCATCAATTCAAAAAACTTTGATCATCATTTTTATTCTACAAAAACATACTATTGCTTAATATTGGTGCGGTTTATTGATATTCTATATATATGTATGTACCTATGTTACACAACTTATATTTTTATTCACTATAAAAGCAAATAGCCGTATACGTACTTATTTAAATTACGATTATTTTACAAAATTTAATTTATATTTTTATTGTTTAACTTATAATGTAATATCAATTAAATTTTAACTACATTATTTTATTATATAAAACAAAGATAAATATTTTAGTTAATTTATATTAAATTGTATAATATGAAATTCAATGGAATAGGATTATTGATTTGATTTGACAGATCATAAAATTCAAGATAAAAAAAAAACAAAATGTCAAAATAAATGCATTTTAATTAATTCAATAAATTAGAAATTTCTATATATAGAAAATTCCTTCAAAAATAAATGAAAACCTCTATCGATTATTATAAAAATAATTGAAAGGTACAATACAAATAAGTTTTTAATTTAAAATTTATATTTAATATAAAAATAATTCCTTAATTTCATTTTCCTTTTGTTTTTTTTTTTTTTGGTTACTAAACACTAGCCATAGAGTTACAATCAAAATTAACAACAACGTTAAATTTGTATGCTAGTATAAATAAAACGAATGAAAAAAAAATTAAAAAACATATTTACTTAAAGGAAATGAGAAAGATTTACTTAAAGAAAATTATAGAATAATCAAGAAAACTCTAAGTTATTAGAGTCAAATATTAATATCATTTCATTTCGGAAATATTGTGAATTTTAATTGTAAATATTATGTAATATAGCAACACTATTAAGATTAATTAAATAAGGCAATAATTTTGTAAAAAGATTCCCTTCTTACTGAGTAATTTCAAAATTTTTTTGTAATTTTTGAGCCGTTCGTGCCGATTCATTTGTTGCCTTTCTATTTTTCTTTCTGTATGGCTAACTATTTCACATTGAAAAACCCTTTGAATCAAACCTTTGCTAGTTTGTGATGAAAATACACTTACTGTTCCTCAGAATCTACAATTGAACTACATTATTAATATTTTTGTATAATAATATTTTATTCTTATTTTATTTTATTTTAGCTCGTTCAAAATTTCTGATTAATAAAATAATAATAAACGAATTAACAAATATTTTATTACAATTTTACTTTTACTACATTCAACTATAAAAATATTGGGATGCGATATTTATTGAAGAAGATGAAACTTTTGGTATTTTTTTCTTATTGTTTATTTCTTCTAGCAGATACCTTTCTTCCTGTTCAATAAAAATAATACGAAAAAAAAATATAAAACTACAACAAAAAAAAAAAATATTTTAAATTCCAAAAAAAGCTTGAGGAATTTATGTTCAAAACTTATAAGCTAAACCAACAAAATATAAAAATAAAAAAATTAAAGGTATAATCTCATCATTACTGCTCTTTGTCCAGTAAATTTTATTGCATTATTAAAATTTGTTATATACGGGCAAACCGTATAGTAATATTACTGTATAGTAGCATATAGTCATATCGATTATAGTTAAAATCGAAAAGAACGTTGAAATTGGTAAATGCCATCCATAAACGAAAAAATAAAATTATTTTGAATAAAAATTTTTATGTAATTTATAAAACTTATTATTAATTTTAGTTCTGATTTGGATTGTTAATGAATACTTTCGAGTAAAGGTGTTATATAAACGGCTAAATGAAGTCCATCGTCTATCAATACAATTTTTTCAAAATATTGCATTGTATACCAGTAAATATTTTTACTAATTTAAAAATTGACAGTACTATAAATTCTAAAAGTATAGGAACAACTTTAAAAACAATGACAAAATTTACTTGCATATTAGTCTTTCGCAACACGAAATGGTGAAAACATTTTATTTAAATTTTCAAGAAACCGTAATCCCTAAAGCATTGTGTTGCAGATAGAAATAGAAAATTCTTTCAAAATCGCCTCAATCGAAACACCGCAAGCATAAGAGATTCGGTTTAAATGCTTCCGTTAGTGTATGTGGTGCGACCGTAAACTAAGCTACTAATTTTAATTTCGAAAATTTATTTAAATAAAATAAATAAAAATAAATTTTATGTTAAAAAACTGAAACAAATTTAAGAAAAATTTTAAAAAGGAATCCTATAAACTAATACAAAAGTTCAGCTGAAAATTTAGGACCCATATTCAATTAATATTTCTTATCTCCTCCGTTTCAATATATAATAGAAGGAAAATAAAGTATTCTTTGGGATCAACTTTGATTATATCTTATAGGTATTATTCAACAGGTTAAAATCAAATTTTTCTCGTATAACTTTATCCAAACTAATATATGTACATATAAATAGTTGCCCATGTATTTCTTATATACATTTAATGCAAAAATTTATGCTTGTATTTAAATAGGAAAAAAAAAATATTGTATTTTAACTAAGTGTCTCGAATTATTCCAATATACATTTTGATATTTTATAGTTAATTGTTGTTTCTTCTTCAACAATCATAAAGTTGTTGGAGTTTTTAAAAACAAAAATGAAGAAACAAAATAGAAAAATGAAAAATACAAAAAAGAAACATAGCACGGGGAAAATGGGTAGAAGAAATTCACGTAATAATCAACCAAAAATAATGGCAATTTATTCAAGTATAGAGCATCGCTAATGCGCTTCTGAAAGTTAGAGGTATGAAGTTAACATTTTGCTTTTTTAATGCTTTTTTTTTTCATTTACCTTCATTTTCATATTTTTACTTCTTCTTCTTATTTTTTTTTGGTTTTTACTTCTTGTACTAAAAAAAAATTTTACTGTTGATTTTATAATATTATTTTGTATTTGGAAAGAGAGAGACAAAAATATAAAGAGATGGATCTTCTTTTATGCCATTGTATATATGCCCCATCATGCATTTGGCTACCAAATTTAGTGAAAATATTAAAAAAAAAAAAAAACAATAATAATAAAAGAAACAAGAAAAAAAATAATTGCAAATATTTTTATCGTGCGACGACTATAAAGAGGAAAACTCTGACCGAATAAATGTACATTCAGTTGTTGGTTTCCTAATCGAAAGGAGCTAAATCAGCTTTTTTTACCTATTCCTTTTCTATTTTTTTTTAAATTTTTTTTATAAAAATTATGAACTCCTTTGTCGTGGTAAGCTCATAATTTCTAATATTAATTATATATACGAAAAGTGAATATTGCATTTAAGGACGATAAAAAATAATTTGAGTGTGTTTAATACTTAAAAAAAATATTAATTAATTTAAATATTAATCATATTTTTAAAATAATTGCAATTTATAAGAAAAAAAAGCTTTTAAACCATAAAATTAATTTTAATGTAAAAATAAAATATAACGCATAAGACAAAAAATATAGCAATGCATATGTGACAAGGATTATATTGTATTTTCAAAAAAAAAAAAAAAAATCATAAAGGATATTTTTTAAATGCCAATTATGTGTATTACAATTAGTATAATTACAATTAATTTGTGGTATTAATAAAGAAACATTTATAGTGATTAGATTATGATTAGTATGCAACTAACTTCAAGGATATTTAATTGCCTAATACTTACATACATACATATGTGTATATAAACGTTTATAAAAACAATAAAAACTTGAATTTTAAAAAAAAATCTTAATTTCATAGTGAAAAATTAAACGTACTAAATTCTGGTCATTAAATTAGTAAAGATCAATATTCAAATAACAATTTTGTGAAGCTTTTTGAATAACAATTGATGGTGTTATTCATATTATTAATTATATTTGGAAATTTATAGAAAAATATTGATTTTAATTTAATTAAGAAACAATAATTTTTATAAAATATTATTTCTTTTCACAATTTCACAATAAAAATATTAATATTTCAAAGATGCTCCCAATTTTCCGTCATAATTTCAAAAAATTTTGTTAATTGATTATATTTAAACTTTATTTTAATTGGGTCGATAATTCAGTTCTAACTTAGTTTTAATATAAAGTACGTTCAATAAATCCAAAATATGAAACCTGCAAAAATAACATTTGAAAATTACAGTAGTGCTTAAAATTATAAAGGCGTTTTTTTAAAACAACTGCAAAATATCTTACAAATTATTAGAAGAAGAGTACTTATAATATAGAAAAATAAAAATATTAAGTATTGAAGAATCGAGTATGTTACAAAGTTGTAAAAACTGCAAAAGTAATATATGTATTCAGTTTATGCAGATTTTTAAGTATACGTTTATATGAAAAGTCTTTTAAATTTCAATTTAGAACTGGTAGCGCTTGCCTGAATACTCGAAAATCCCCTAAAATATAAAATTATTAAATTAATATTTTAATAGTTAATTATTTTTAATTATAATGATAGTTATTAGCAAATTTATACCATATCTATATATTCAATGGTCATTACAAAGTGATATGTATTATATAACAATGATAATTATTGTTATACTCCCTTAAAATGACCATTGAATTTATTTTTGAATGTATATACAACAAGAAAGAATTTTAATTCTATCATAATTTTAAAAATATTCGAATTCTTTGTATAAAATTTAGTTTCAATAAATATAAGAGTTTTTGAGGTAAATATTATCTGACCTTAGACGTGATTCCTTGTCTTTAATCTAAGAATTTCATTTAAATTTGCTTTAAAAATTTCCTATAAAAAGTACAAACAAAATTTTATATCTGTATAAAAAATTAAAACAAATCATAGAATTAAGAAAAATTTAAATAACATCTTTTTCTCATAATTTTAAAAAAAAAAATGCACAAAATTTTTAAAAAAAGCAAAGCCTTCATATATAATGAACCATTTTCATTCAAAATTCTAAAAATTCAATAAACAGAAGATTAAATCGAATTGTAAATTTACTGATACAACAATAATTGTTCGTTAAATAGAGATATTCGTCATGTAGATGGTTCGTTTTATGATAGTTTTGCTATACATACATTAAATGACATATTGGTATGACTTTGGGCAAATACATTAACTTAAAATTTTTTAATGTTTAACTTAAATTTCATATAATGTTTTTTTCACATTTTAGATCTTGGCCTGTTCGTTGGCTGCATTAGCTGTTGCTGAACCTCCATCAGGCTACAATTATCCACGTGGTGGAGGTGGTGGAGGCGGTGGCGGTTTTGGTGGTGGTTTCGGTGGAGGATTTGGTGGAGGATTTGGTGGTGGTGGTGGTGGGGGCGGTGGAGGCTACCAAGCTGTGAGTGGAGGTTTTCAAACTTCTGAAGGACAAAATGTTGATCCACAATTATTAGAACAAGTAAGACAAATTCTTTTACAAGAAGAAAGTAAAAGCGGCGGTGGTGGTGGAGGCGGTGGTTTTGGTGGCGGTGGTGGTGGTGGTTTTGGTGGTGGTGCTCCATCAGGATCATATGGACCACCATCTGGTTCATATGGCCCACCATCTACATCGTATGGTGCTCCGGGCGTTGGAGGTGGACGTGTTGTCGGTATTGATTTAGAAGGTGTTAGACAAGCAATACAAGTAGCACAATTTGCTCAAACAATGACTCAAGCTGGCGGTATTGGAGGTGGCTATCCAAGCGCCCCATCTGGTAGTTATGGTGCTCCATCAAGACCAAGTTCAAGTTATGGTGCTCCATTTTAAGTTGAACAAATAGAAAAATTAGTAAAATTTCATCGCATTTTTAGTAAAAAAAAAAAAAACAAAAAAAAAAATTGTTAAGAAGAGTATTAAAAAAAACTCATCAAAACAACATACCATAAAAAATTCACGTCACATACATACATGCATACGATAGGGAAAAGAAAAGTATACAAAAAAAAGAACTATAAGTATTAATATTTTTTTTATATTATATATAATTCCCCAATATATTGGGCCAGTATTACATGAAATTGATATGAAAAAAAAAATATTATAAAGGGATGACGAAAATTTTTAAAATATTTTTTTTTTAAATATTTTTTGCTGAAAATGATACTCGTAATAATTACATATACATATATAAAAGGACGCCACGACACTGATATTATAATCCCAAAATAAAAATCAATTCCATGACAATCAAGGAGTATAATTACATATATATATATATATTTTTTATATACACATATATAAAATATATACGTATATTTTTTGTAAACATGCCAAGTATTAACGTTAACAGGAGTTTTAAAATACTAAGGGAATTTTATTTAGTATTTTTGAATGAAAGTTTAAAAAGTATAAAATAAAAAATTTTGGATTTTCATATTTTCATCTTTTAAAAAAATCTATTAACTATAATTTCTTATATTTTCATATTTTCCAAATATCTATAACTGTTCTATAATTTTCAAATGTAAAACATAATTTTTTTTAAGAAAATGTTTCTAAAAAAAATTTGCTTTAAGTAATTTCACTTTAATTTTATTTTTTGCTGTCGTTAAAAAAAGAAATAATGTGTAAATATTTGTTTTTGTATTGTAGTTTTAAGTGTTTGTTTTTTTTTATATAAAAAGCTGAATTTTGTCACCGTTAACAATGTGTTTTATTTCTTTGGTTAATTTTTTTTAAGTTAAAAGTTTCTCAAAGAAGAGTGAATTCTAAATTACGCATTTTAAAAACGAGAAAGGGAGGAGGAAACTTTGAATTTGGAACCTCTTTATGATTTCTAAGTAAGCTTCATTAGTAAGACTCACAAACAAAACATTCAGCCATATTAAGAATTCCACTCCTAAAATTCTACGACTACGAGATAGACTTTTGAATGATCATTGATCACAAATGTCACTCGTGGAGATTATGAATTAGCAATGGCATAACTATTTTTTGGAATGTCAAAGTCAGTATTTTATTTCAACTCTAATGTTTATTTATATTTTTTATAACTGTTTAAGTAAACAACATTAATACAAAAAGTTTTTTTCATACAAAAGTTTACATGAACAACATTCATATAAAAGTTAAAAGTTTTTGAATATTTTTGTCAAAAAAAAATTATTTAAAATTTTGTTTTCAGCAAATACGAATAAATTTCCCTTTATTGTAGTTGTGCTAGAGGAACTCATACTCATAAAAAAAAAATAAATCAAAATATAAAAATTTAAAACGAGCGTTCTCTTTAAATTGCTTTTGTAGATTTTTGACATTTATTTTTACTATACGAACATAATTTATAATTTGCTCATTTGCTCCAAATTTTCGGGAGAGAATTTTAATAATTCGGAATTCGTGGTAGGACTGATTATCATTTTGCCACCCTGCCATCCTCAAATAACTTTAGTAATTTTGTATTTAATATAATTTGGAAATGGTTTCAAAAAAATTTTAAATTGTTTAAAAAAATCAATTTATAAAAAGTTATTTCAGAATAAACTATAAAAAAATATAAAGCATAAATCAAAGTACATCATAATAATGACTGAAAAAGGAAAATCCTATTTGAAAAACTTTATGCAATTGATAAGGAAGCAATTAAAGTTCTTAATTGACTTGAAACCTACAGGAAAGTGTATTTTTTTGAGTTTTGATGGGTTCAAATATTAGTAACTTATTTAAATATATAACACTGATTTAAAGTTCAAAAAAAAATTTTGATAACATTTTTTTTTTGCAAAATTTTTAATCACATTTAGCAATAAATTAGTAAACATTTATAAAAATAGCAAATAATATTTACGTAAATATTAAACGCGCTTAAGTTAAATTACGTGCTTTTATTTTAAAAACTAGATCTTAATCTAATCCTAGTTTTTATTTCAGCGCTCTAATGAGTAATAACAATGGGATATAAAAATAAATTAATCGTCTTATACGACATAATTTTAAAAAGAATTTCGTATTTTTATAATTTTTATATTTTTATATTATGCACTAAATTATGATTTTATTTAACACTTATTTAACACTATGTATGTATGTTCACATATAGGTTCTCATTTATTATAAATATAATAATTAAATATCATGTGGAATTTTCACAATTTTATTGTAAATTATTAATTAAAAATGCAGCCCTTTTTTATAAACACAACATTATGTATTGTATATTATTTAAATTTGGCATATTTTTATTCTTTTGAAAACTTTATAGCGTTCACATTGGATTTATTTTGAAAAAAAAAAAAATATTAAATATAAATGCGGCTAAAATTTTTTAATTTATAGTTAATTGACATGTCATAAAAACAAGTCAATGAATTAGAGATGAGCAAAATGTCAGAATCATTAAAATAACCAATAATTTTACTTATATGCAAGTAAATATGAATACATATGTATATACATATAAATATCGAATCTTTATCAATATAAAATTTACAAGTAAGCAAATTTTATTTTAGTAACCACACTCTGTAATGTAAAGTAAAATATAAGGGCACGTGCAATGTATACTATGGCAAAATGCTGAACAGATGCAATTTAATTGAAACAATCATGTGCATACTAAAATATTTCATCATTCATGATATATGTAACTACTTTTATAAGTACATAATATTGTATGAATTCAAATATTCATATAAATTTCATACATAAATTAATATAAAACTTTTTGAATATCTGTAAAATTTTTGTATTGTTAATGCAAATATTAAAAATTTCTTATGATTTCAATAATTAATGCAGTGAATAATGATTAATTAATTAATATAATTCAAAGAAACAATAATAATATAATATGTTAATACGTAACTAAAATATGTCTGATTTTAGATTTAAATAAGAAATGCAAAAACGAACTCTACCAAGTTTATAATTTCTCAATTAAAACTCGTGAACATCATTAGGTCAAAAAAAATAATACTTACATACCTACAAATATGCTCAATGTGATCATTACATATGTACATACATATATATTTATTGAAACGAATATTTAATTTTATATTCTAAAACAAAACAAAATAAAAATTTTTTTATTTTTAACAACATCTGAATAAATATATACATATATATATATGTGTAAATTTTACATATAATTACACACTTACGTATATCACATGGCAATACGCTAAATACCTTATGATTATCGCCATTATAATTGTTGTTACAATTATTATTATTGTTGTCGTTAATAATTACATACATATATAGTATTATATGTGCTCACTATATACATACATATGTACATTTATAATATATAAAATATCATAATGTTGTTGCTTAATTATATTTTCTCTATATTCCTCTATTTTAATCACATGTGATTGCTAGGTGATAAAATATTACATAAGATGCTATAAAAATTGGTATTACGTACATACGTTGGAAACAATAGATAAAACAATAGAAATGAATCTCTTAACTATTTTATATTTTTTTTTTTATTTGTTAAAGTGAAAAATTTATGGTAACTTTTGGTTTTATAATTATTATTAGTATTACATACTTTGTAACTATTACATACTTTTCAAAGTATGTAATTCAAAGTATGTATGTAATTGATAATATAAATTAACAACAAAAATTAAAAATAAAATATGAATAAGAGAACAAGACACTTTTTTATTTTGCTTAAAATCTAAATGTACATCCATATAAAGGTGCAATTAATTGTAATAAAAATGATTTGTGGTCCAATTGTGAAATTAACTAATCTAATACATATAAGTATACGTACATATGGATACATACTATGACATTGTATGTATACATAATACATATGTACATACTTATATGAATAAAAATGTTCCCAAAACGCAAACTTTTGTAAAGTATCATATTCAAAAAAGTTGTATGAAAGCTCTTGATATTGCAGACTGTTCAAAAATGTTTATTACAATGCAATATCAAGTGTTTCTTCGCATTTGTAATACGAATAAAAAAAAAATCATTGGTAGCGAAAAAATGGAACGCAACTGTCATATAACATAAGTAAATGTTAATCAAAAATGAACTATTGATAAAGTAATACCTATATAACTTTCAGAAGTAAAGTGCTTATTATTTAATATCTATGAAACTTTGCTTTTTTTTTTAAAATATAAAATGTACATAAATATTACAAAATCTTTAGCATTTGGTTTTACAATTTAGTAAAACTTTCAAAAGATAGTAGAACCGTATTTATACGGTACTAAACTTTTTATAAAATATTTTTGAAGACTCTCAAAATTGTACATTAATTAAATACAAAAACATTTTTATACTTTTTATCTTAAATGCACTTGAAAATTAACAGCGAAAAAAAATATAAACCCAAACATACATATAAATGCATATGTATTTATTTTAAATACATATGACTTAATTTTACTATACTTATTTTTATTAATACAATTCTCATCGAATTATTTAGATCGTTCTGTTTAATAAATAGGGTGAATGTGGAAATGAGCGATACAAAACATGATTGTAAAGCTTTACTACGTTACCTAATAGATTATGTTTGATTTTATATATGTGTACGTACTCATACATAATTTCTTATGACAAATCTAAAATATATTAACAAAAAAGTTGAAATTTAAAATTTAAGTATGCAGAGATTAGGTTAAATTTTTACCTATGTGTACATATTCCTACAACCAGAATGAGTGAATTTCATAGAATAATTTTATTCAAATTTCTTAAATAATGAAAGTTAGCACCATACCATAGCAAACTAATTAATTGCTTACAAAATTATAATTTTTATGAATTAAAATAAAACTCTTCTATTTATATTTTTGATCAAATTAAAGTACATACTTGCATTTCGTGAAGTTATTTTAAAATATTCGCATACTTACTTAACCTATGTCTATGATAAATTAGAAATTTATGTAAATTTTTCTCGTTGATTACATTTCATAAACAAAAACTCAAAAACGTTATATGAATTTTTAATAATTTTTTGATTATATTTGCAGTTTTATTTTAAAATTTCAAAACAATAGAAAAAATGAAAACATAATAAAAATAAAGATATGTTGTTACATTAATATTAGTATTTGCCGATTATACATAATGATTTAATACTATTGATTAATCGTGACATCTTAAAAATAATGTTTTTTTTTTTTATAATATCGAATATTTAAACAGAAGAATTGTGCAACAATCAACACAAAAAAATCATGTTACATTTGAAAAAAGAAAAAAAAAGGAATCTATGCCAGTAATCTTTCCTTGCTTTACTTTTTTTATTTTTACTATTTTTAATCTTTCCTTGCTTTACTATTTTAAATTTTTTCTATTTTTCTGAGAAATAAAATATCGATAAGGTGATATTTGTTGTGTATTTACTCGTACCTCTACACATATTTTTATCTCAGTTAATTTAACTTTAAATTTAACCCTTATTTTGTATTTGTATATGTATGCATATATTTGTATATTTATAAACTTTAAAAACATTGATAAGAATAGGTTTTGTGTATTATATGCCTTTGAATTTCTAAAGATTCTAAATGCTAAATTTATACATATTCAACGTAATTAGTACTAACTAATAGTGCAAACTTTTTAATTTTTATATCTATTATGTTGACACGTAATGAATGGTTGGTTATTAAATATTTGAAGTTGACAAAAATTTATTCAGGTAGTATACAAAAACTTTGTTGGCAATTTCTTTATCAATTAATTTAAATTTTTTTCAGCCAAATTAAATTCGCCGTGTTAAATTCATTTATTTAGTTTGTTTAAAAATTTGTAACGTTCAAAAAATGCTATAATAATTACATTATGTAAATTAATACGTCTTTTAAATATGTTATTCATATAAACTCTAGAATAATAGAGTTATTCCAGAGTTATACATAATTCATATACGGTCTTTTGGCTTCCGCTAAAATAATCTATAGAACATTTTTGTGTTGAATCAGATTTTTTATAATACAATTTTCACTGCAATTTTTTGAAAAATCTTTAAAAGAATGACAAAACTAATTTTTCTTCGAACTCTTCTATAATAATTCATAATTAAAATGTATAGTAAATTTATAATTTTGTTTCTGAAACTTGTAAATTATTGTTCTGATCTAATAAGGATATCAATAAAACGGTAATTTTGTGCTTTAAAATTACTAATTTTAATTTTAAAGTATATTTATCTATATATTTTGATTTTCTTTAAGCTTTTAGTATAAATACTTACGTTAATCCATAGTTTCTTTTTTATTCCAAGGATTGACAAATTTGCCCAAATTATTTGAATTTTAACAATTTTGCATTACAATTCCCTTTGTGTAATCTATTTGTGAATATGAACTCAAAATTCAAAAGTTTACCCAAAAGTAGATTAATTTTATTTTTTAAGAAAAAATAATGACAATCTGTATGGCTGTTTTCTTCTTTTTATTTAAAAGTTAACAAAAAATTTTTGTTTTTTTTTTTTTAATTACAGAATTAAAAATAGTTTCATTTTTTTAGTTTTATTTTTTATATAATTTTTCGATTTTTCTTATTATGTAATTTACTCTACACACAAACATTTTTCTTTTTTTTTTTTTGTTTTTCAATTTTCCATTTCTTCGTGTTCATCAAATTGAAAATTATGCTCTAATTATATTATTTTATTTAAAATAATTTTTAATATATGTATTTAAAAACAAAGAAAAAAAAATAAAGAAATTTATAGCTATTCTACTTCAACTTTGTGTTTTTGTTTAAAAATTTGTATTTATTCTTCCTTATTTATTGTTACATTTATTTCTTTTCACACTTTTTTTCCACAAAATAGACATACTAAATAATAGTAAACAATTTATAAATTTCTAATTTTTTATCAAACCAATTTTTCATTAAATTTTGATACTTAACCATTTAATTTTTTAGATATAGAGAAAGAATGTGTTAGGCAGTTTATGGAAAATGCCAAATTATATCAAATAATATTTTCCAAAAACAGGATTACATAATTCATTTAAAAGTGTAAATTCACCTTTAAGTCTTTCGACCTAGTTTATAAAAAAAAAATTTTTTTATAAATAAACAGGCTTAAAACATTTTCTTTGTAGGTAAAATGTAATTGCTAACAAAAAATTTAAACATTTCACTCACATATTATGTGAAATGCATTTTAATATTTAAAAATGCATTAGCGGTTTTTAATAAAATTTAAACAAAAAAAAATACTTTTTTTATACAAGATCTATAAAAATTATGTAAATTATTGTTCATTCTATAAAATCCACAAAAAATTTTCATTTATGAGCATGCCAGTGAAATTTAATATTTAAATTTTAAATATTATTTATAAACAAAAAACAAGACATTATTATTTAAATTGTTAAATACAATTGTATTTAATTATGTTATCTCTCATAAAAAAATATGAGTTTATGTTTTTGTAATTAATACACCTATCAATGAGTCATATATTTTTTACTTATTTAACCAAATATTTAATAAAATATATCTTTCAACATTCCACATTTACCAAATATTGAAATATCAAATTCCTTTTTTTACAGATTTTAATTTCAAGCATGCATAATTAAACAGAATCAAAAATTAATTTACTAATATAAAAGTTTACTCTTACGAATATATTAGTTTATTAGATTATGTTTTTAGTTAAATTATTTTGTTATGTTATTTTTTTATTTATTTATTATGCGTTTATTAATTTTGAATTGTTTTTTTTTTAATTTTATTTTTTGCCATATGCCTAAAAACGAGCTTTCTTATATTGCTGAAAAGAAATTTTATATGTAGTTTTATAAAAACAAAACTATTTATACATGTATTTTTTTAGTTAGTCAATTATTATCAAAAACTTATGATATACATAATAATACATAATTTAATTACAAAATTGTGGTGTCGAAATTACTTCACCAGGAGCCAATCAGTTTGGTTCGCCTAAAACGTAAAAAAATTAAATTTAATAATTTTTTGTAATCGAAAACTAATCATGTGAAAACAATATTAAGCTAAATTAACTGTTCTTGCCATTTTGATTTCAAGTTTCTAACATACATGCAATATGAGTTAATATAGGTATGTATATAGTATATGTATATATAGTATATATAATAATAATAATTGCTACATACTATATGTATATATATATACTATGTACATTAGTGTATATAGATATATAGTATATATATTGAGATATATATAGTATATATATAGAGATATATATATAGTATATATATAGAGATATATATAATATACATATAGAGATATACCCACTATATATACGTACATCAATATAAGTACAAATTATAAACATGTTCTTTAAATACGTTAAATTATAAAATATTCTCTTTATAAAACAATAGCTTCCAAAAAAAAAAAAACGAACTAGATTAGTTAAACTGAATTTACCGTAATTTGAATTGATCCCACCCAAATCTATTTATGATAACTTAATTAATATTTTCATAACTGCGCAAAAACAAAGTTTAACGTTGTAGCTAATCGTTAATAGCTTAAATAATAAAAGATTTGCTTTCAAATTAAATTAAAAAAAAAACAACTTTTAAATAACCGCTTTTCAAAATCTAATTAGCTTCCTCTAACTTTGAAAAAATTCAGGTTGCGAATACGGAACTGCCAAAAAAAATATTTACTGTTTAAAATGACGAATAGGAATCTCCCGAAATTATGTCACATACATTGAAAAATTCGGCTATTAGCAATTAAAATGTTTTTTTTTTTTAATCTTATTTATATTTTTTTTAATTTATTCTATCATATTATAATATAGTGATTGTTTTTTTTTAATATGTATATAGTAAATTTCAATATTACATAACTATAAATTTGTATGTTGGCGATAAAATTTATTGAAAATAATGTATAAATTTAACTTTTATACAAACTACATGTAATTCGTTAATTACTTTTGTGATAAAACTTAATTGATGTATTAATAGTGTTTATCTTAAATACAAGGCTGTGGAGCTGATATTACTTCATCTGACGCTGATAACTTGGTATCGCCTAAAACAAAAAGTTATTTTTTTATTTCAACAAAATATATTCTATTTGCGATGTTAGTTGGGCTAATACATTGATCAATAAATTACAGATATAAAAATTTTTAAAAATTATTTAAAAATAAATCAAACACTTACAAGTATTATCTGTTTTTGTTTCAATTTTATTTTCTTCCACTGAATTGGTAATTTCTACGGAATTATTCTCATGTGGGATATTGTTTTTTTCTACAACTTCTGAAATTTGATCACTTATTTTATCTTTTTTAATTTCATTTTTATTTTCTTCAGGTGTGCCATTATTGCCTAATCCATTATTAGTTTCAATCATTTCTACATCATTCGTTATTACATCATCGTTTACCCCTGTTGATGGCATAGAAACTTCTTCAATATTATTTATTTCATTATTTGATAATTCTGGACTTTCGTCAACATCCATTGCTTCTACAGAATCTACTTTTTTATTTGTATCAGTTTCTTTTTGAGTTTCTATTGATTTTTCTACAGTTTTATCTTCGGTGGATGATTTTTTGTCTTCTTCAATTCGATTTTCATTCATTTTCTGTGCTTCTTCTGTTACGATTTTTTTGTCTGGCGACGTTTGCTTTTCACCAATTACATCCTTTATTGATTCTGATGGAGATTTAGATAAATTTTCTTCAGTTTCTTGATTTTTATCAGATTTTTCTTCTGTAGATTTTTCTTTGTCCAATATATCTTTAATTTCTTCTTGCATTGGTTTATTTTCGCAACTTTCATCAGAAACAATTTCTTGAGAATCTTCCTTGATTGATTCAAGTTTTTCACCTTTATCTATTTCATCTACTTGCGGTTCTTTTAAACCTTGATTAATTTTCTCGTGTGTCTCCTGAACATTTTCAATTTTATCTTTCACCTGCTCAGTAGTCTCTTTTACATCTTCAACTTCTGCCACTGGTTGCGACTCCGAGTTTTTGTGCACTGCGCTCTTTTCCTCCTCAATTTTTGTTTCCGTTTTACCGTCAGGATTCTTTCCCAATTCTTTGGATGCACTTGGTTTATTCTCTATAATTTCATCTTTTTGATCTGCTTTACTTTCTTCATTTTTAGTTACATTACTATCCTCACTTGTTATTGAAGTAGTAGCATCATCAACTGATTCAGATTTATTTTCCTTTACCGGGGTTGTTTCTTTCGTCCCCTAAAAGTAATAATATTAACAGAAAGGATTGAATGAAAAAATAAAAAAATTTTGAATATTAATCATTTTAAATATTAAATAAAAAAGTCACAAAAGAAAAAGCACATTAAGAATTTAAACTAAAATTGTTTCAAAAAGAAAATTAAACTAAAATAAATTGTTGAAAATTCTTCTGAAACTTACTTTTTTTTTGCTGTCTTTTCCAGCGTTCTGCTTTCCGGCTATTTCTGCTTTTTCAAGATTTTTTTCTGGCTTTTCAGACTCGCTACTTCTAGATTTACTTGATCTCGTAGATTTTTTAACTTCTTTTGTTTCGTTAGATTTCTTATTTACTGGACTTTTCTTTGTATCAGTTTCCTCACTTTTTTCAGATTTGGAACCATCGTTACTTTCTTCCTCGTCATCCAATCGTTTAGATCTTCCTCGCTTCGCTGATGATGTTGATGGTGTTGACGCTTTAGCTCTTTTCGTTGGTGGTGGCGTTGCTGGTGTAGATTTGGCTGTACTATTTCTAGAGCTTGATCTTGTTTTACGACCGCCTTCAATATCTATAGAGGATCCCATTTTTTTCAATACCTCTTCAGACTCCCGCTTAACTTTTTCTGCTAAAGACAGTCTAGAACGTTTTTTCTGAAAAAATTATTTGTTATGTAAGAGTTTCTTGATAAAAATTATTTATATTTCTAAATTTGTGAAATCGAATAAGTTAAATTTGTTAAATTTAAAATAATGCAAATTTACAGATTTCTGCAAGCCGCCAAAATCATCTCACAAACACTAATATAAATGATTATGCTATTTTACATGTGTAGGAATCCTTTCAAACAAAATTGTCTTTTAATTTAACACGAGTAAAATGCACTCGCATTTTTTATTTTTGAAATTGAAAAATGAATTGCAATATAATTTCTCAAAAATATGAACAAAATAAATAAAGCATTAAAATAAAACGCGTCTTGCTAATATTATTTGATGTCGTACCCACCTACACATTTACAATAAACGCAATGCACTAATATATAAACTTGTTTTACGTATTTTTACATACATACTTCAGAACTATAAAAAAAATTTAATTTATATCCACTAAATAAATTTTTTTTTGTACCTTCAGGTAATACTATCTTTAAGTAATTAAAAAATTACATCAATTTTCGGAATTGAAAGAAATTTAGTATCAATACTAATTAGTTTTTTCAGACCTCAAATTAACAATCTTGATTCAACACTATACATATATGTACATAATACAATGGAAGCCCAAGCGGCACACCAAAAATTACACCACTCACCGGAGTACTTTTTTCTGCTTGCGGAGAAATACTTTCATTTTGTTCCGACATTTTATAATAATTTTCGCAAAAACAATTGATTTACAAATATTTTAAAGAAATAAACAATATTAAATTCCTTTTTTTAAACAAAAATATTTTTTCAACGAAAACGCTTCTTATCTTCGCGCTTGATGTTTTACGAATATATGAAGTTTCGGCTAAATAGAAGCGAAAACGTTGCTTTTCGGTCACAAATATCATTCAACAGGACGCTGCGTCATTTAATTTTTACTTCTTATAATGAACAACAGATGTCAGTGCGAAAAGAAATTATTTATCTTTTACGTCTATTGAAAACATCCGAATTGTTTTATTTATACCTCCGAAAAAATATTATTTAATTTTACAGTAAGTTTTATTAATTTTAACATATACTTTGATGTTAATGAACAACTCATTTTTTTAATAAGGTAATTTGAGACTATTTTATAAATTTATATCTACAGTGTCATTTTTTTGATTTAATAAATAGTATGCAAGCGGTTGTCAAAACAATAATATTATCTACATATTGAAACGTATAACAACCAAAATTACCGCGCGGTAACCGTACCAATTTCAAATTTCCAACCCCAAGTGTACGGTATTGGAACTAGAGAATGGTTTTCATAGTTTTTGACGTTCTTCGGCGAACATCAATCATATTTGTTAGCAATAAAAATGTAATTCCGAGATTCAATAATTAACAAAATAAAATATATCTTTTTTTTTATTTGACTTTATTTATATCACTGTAAAATATCGTGTTTGGCAATGATTTATATGGGTGATCCAGTTATTATCACAAGTCTCGATCATAAATCATATGTAAATTGTTTTATGTTAAGTGTAGAACTTCAATTTGGTGATATAATACGAAAACTACTAATTAAATACGAAAACTATTGGCAAAAAAAATTTTATATTCCTAATTGTACTTAGTTTTATTTAGCTAAGAACTCAAGGTATATTAACTTTGGTTTGCTTAAAGAATTCATCTGCGGTATATGTATATACTGGCTCAGCGTAAAATTTGGCGTTGATTTAGTTTTCTCTATCTGCGGTTGCTGTCCATCGAAACGATAAAAGCAAACATCACTAAACTTTCAGAAATGATTCCGTTTCTGTCAAAAGTGACTGCTATTGCAGTTTTACAACTTCATGCAACGAGTTCGGGTAGCTGTCATACAACTCAGAAAGATTATGTTTATATGCTAATTTTTCAAAATCTAGTACATATATTAATATGAAACTTTGTAAATGTGTGTCCAATGTGTAATGGTTGAGTTAGCTCAGGTTGCTACCATCTCACTCCTAAAACAAATTTCAAAGAAATTATAAAACATGAAATTTGAGATGGGTTCAGTTATCGCTCAAACATATCGTAGAAGCCTTTATGGCATAGCATAACTTCACAGTTTCAGAAAACTGGCATAACCCTTAAAAAAGCTAATTTTAAATAATTATGTATGTATGGATTTCAAAAAATTAAAATCAGTATTGAGTTTCGAGATGATTTCAAGTCAAGTACCCAAGCTGCTATATTACTAAATTCAAATTAAATACTGTTAATTGAAACAACAATTGTATATCCTTTATAAGCCTCATTTATTGGTAAAGATAATACACTATTTTATTACTGCGCATTACATTCATAAAATTTTCTCTTATGTATTTTTTTTTTCTTTTGTCAACATATTATGTATTTAATTTTAACTGACATCATAATTTCTCGATTATTAAATAATTTTTATATATTTTTAAATTATAAAAGGAAAATCAATTGTTTATTAACTAAAGAAGCATATTTTGCTTTAGACTATAAAAAAAGACAAAATAAAAGAAAACAAGGCTTGTAATAATATTTTGTAATTTTTAATTGAAGTATAATTTAAGGAAACAAGATGCAAAAAATATTTTCTTGTCTTTTTTTCATGAGTGTGCTGCGTTCTTTTACTTAATCTTTGTTTTCAAATATTTTTCGCATTTTAATATTATAAGTATTTATATTGTGTTCAAAACTTATGAGCTAAATTAAAGATAAAAAATAAAACTAAAAATATTTAAAGTATGTATCAATAAAAAAATTTATAGATTCTCCCATCATGATGACATTATATGATTGTTCATATAAAATTGCTGCAACAAGAAAGATTCTTGCGACAGCGGCGACATTACGAAGTTTTTGTATATAACAAGGCGAAAATGTTTTGGAATCGCCAGAAAATTTGAGAAAACGATCAAAATTTGTATCGTAAAAAACAAATTTAAAATTATATAATTCATTACATTTAGGAATTGTTGGAAAATATCAATTTGATCATTATTTTTATTATAATAAGCATTTATATTTAAAATATCAAATTGATTTTTGTTTATAAATTTATATACATTAGAATATCCATTATTAACCGATCGTTGTTGTTTAATGTTAATTTTAGGCTCTTTTGAAATAGAAAATGTTAAAATTTTGAAAATTCTTTTGATTTTATCATCAGTGATGGGATGAAAAGATGTTTTTAAATTAAAGTTATTATGTAATAAATAATTAATAATTATTGATTTCCTTCGAAAAGCTTTGCGATGTCGTAAATGATAAAGAAACGTTTTGATGCTCTTAAAAGAGTATTCAAATCTTTTAAAATATTTAAATGTTGTTAAAGACGATGACGATGGTTTTGTCATGATTATTTTTCTTTTTATACCAATAAAATCAGCATACTTATTTTTTATTTTATTTTTAATTGATATTGTATTCATCATATTCATTTTAATATCTTTGTAGTTAATCATTTCAGTGTGATAATTATTTATTTCAACGTTATTTGTTTTATTATTATTATCTTTATTTTTATTGTTATTATCAATATTAATTTTACTGCATATTTGTGAAGTATTAATATTTTTCAAAGAGATTTTTATTAAATTTTTAATAATGATGACCACGACGACGACGAAGACAACATTTATATTAAATTTTTTTTTTATTATGTTGACGTCCATAAATAGTAAATTATTATTATTACTTTTAAATATATTTTGTGTTATATTGAATATTATTAATGTTTTGTTGTTTGTGAAATTCTGACGGCACTCTAGTTATTTTTTCTTTTGGGCTTTTTCGGCGGCTTTTGTAACTTTACCTGATGTCGCCTCTTTGAAGTTCACAGATTTTATAACACCGACAGCTACAGTTTGTCTCATATCACGAACAGCAAAACGTCCCAAAGGCGGAAATTCTTGGAAACTTTCAACGCATAATGGTTTGGTTGGTACCAAATTAATAATGGCAGCATCACCAGACTTAATGGATTTTGGTTCTGTTTCAGTTGTTTTGCCGGTACGACGATCACACTTTTCTTTGATTTCAGCAAATTTGCATGCAATATGAGCTGTATGACAATCCAAAACTGGAGTATAACCATTTGCAATTTGCCCAGGATGATTAAGGACAATAACCTTTTAAAAGGTATAAATTAATTAATATATGTATGTTAATATATATATAAATTAATTAATATATTATAATTAATATATGTTATAATATTGTCTTACTTGAGCGGTAAAATCAGAAGCTCCCTTTGGTGGATTATTTTTGGAATCACCAGCTACATAACCACGTCTCAATTCTTTCACAGATACATTTTTAACGTTGAAACCAACGTTATCACCAGGTAAAGCTTCGGATAACGCTTCATGATGCATTTCAACAGATTTTACTTCAGTTACCAAATTAACTGGAGCAAAACAAATGACCATACCTGATTTAAAAATGCAATAAGTGTTATTTCTTTTTTGTATAATGAAAAGAAAATGTACCTGGTTTCAAGATACCAGTTTCAACACGTCCTACTGGTACTGTACCAATTCCACCAATTTTGTAGACATCTTGAAGGGGCAAACGCAATGGTTTGTCGGTTGGGCGGCTTGGTGGTAAAATTGCATCAAGACCATCAATTAAAGTTTTACCTTCACTTTTACCTTCCTTACGCTCAATACTCCATCCTTTGAACCATGGCATTTTATCAGAAGGTTCCAACATATTATCACCATGCCAACCAGATATTGGTACAAATGCAACGGAAGCTGGATTATAACCAATCTTTTTAATGTATGATGAAACTTCTTTTTTGATTTCTTCATAACGTGCTTCACTGTATGGTGGTTCAGTTGAATCCATTTTATTAACTCCAACAATCAATTGTTTCACACCCAATGTGAATGCCAATAATGCATGTTCGCGTGTTTGACCATTTTTAGAAATGCCAGCTTCAAATTCACCTGTACCGGCGGCAACAATCAATACAGCACAATCAGCTTGAGATGTTCCAGTAATCATGTTTTTAATGAAATCTCTATGGCCAGGCGCATCAATAATAGTAACATAGTACTTAGCAGTCTCAAATTTCCATAAAGCGATATCAATTGTGATACCACGTTCACGTTCAGCCTTTAATTTATCTAATACCCATGCATACTTAAATGAGCCCTTGCCCATTTCTTGAGCTTCCTTTTCAAACTTTTCAATTGTACGTTTATCAATACCACCGCATTTGTAAATTAAATGGCCGGTTGTTGTAGATTTGCCGGAATCGACGTGTCCAATAACGACAATATTAATATGAATCTTCTCTTTACCCATGTTTTTTTGATTTTTTTTTTAAATTAAAAACTATACTTCCACAAGAAATGAAAAACTAAAAAAATTATAAAAATAGTTTTTTTTATTTTGGAATATGCTTGGCTAGAGCTCGGAATCTTCCAATTTCTTATTACCCCTAAAATTCAAATGTTGCAACTTTTTGCTTGGTCGAATCTATATTAAAAAACAAAAAAAGAAAAAACAAAATATAAAAGTTTAGTAACTTGATTTTAAATTAATTAAAAAAATTAATATTTAAATATTGTAAAATAATTTATGAATTTACTTATAAGTCTCAATGATATTTCCTTTTTTCTTAATAATTGAGGAGATTTTCAAAATCATAATTAACAATGATATGTACTTAATTCTAATTTAACTGCAATAATCTTAAAGTAAAAGAACACTAGACACGTATTTGTTAGTAAAACGATTGAAAGTTTAATATTGGGGGTGCATTATCATAGTAACATCCCTTACTATTTCGCTAGTGTGTAAAAAAAAAATTTTATTGCAAAGTAAGTGGATAAGCTTTAACAAGTTCGGAAAAAATATGTACAAATAAAGTTTTTATAGCTTTAAAATGAAAAATGTTAATGAACTAATATATTAGAGTTAGTAAAAGAATATTCATGCCATTTTGAAGTAATAATTGATATTAAATTGTTGTAATCAAATTTTCAGATATTTTAAATACTGAAATGATGTAAAATATTAACACGAAAACATTGATTTTTATTTTACCACTCGCAAACGGAAGACCCACTTTATAATTTTCAATTCTTCAAAAGTGGGTGGCAAATAAGTGGTACAAAATGTTATTTTACGAGCTATACTCATAATACTAAGTATTAAGGCGAAAAAAATAAAATAAATATTCAATCAGAAGTTGCTTTATCACAGAAGCAGTTATTGTGTAGTGTTAACTCACTTAAATATTAGTTGAATTTTTAATGAAATAATATAAATTATTATTTTATTTATTAATTATTAAATTATAAGACATGTTTGGGCATACAAGTCATATTTACTGTAACTAACACGGAGTAATGCGAGATTCCGTATAAAAAATTCTTTCAAATTCTAAATAATTTTTGAAGAACCGACTCCATTGTATTCTCTATTCATATTTACACGTACAAGTAAATAAGTAAACAAATATTTGTGTCTACAAACTAGAATATTAAAAAATTTATTTGGTCTGCATTATTTTACTATAATGGCACTTCTTGTATATACTTATATTTATACGTCTATATAATTTAAGAATAATTTATAAATTTGAATTTATAGTATACATGTATGATGTGTAGTAGGTATATTTTGAATATAAACGAAATATTTAAAATGAAAATACATTTTTAATTATTCTATATGCGTATACAAAATAATGTATACATATTTCTTATTTAATCTTATTCTAATATCCCTATATTAATATAAGAATAAGAGAAACTTAAAAAATACCTATACATTTACAACTTTATTTATAGAATTAAAAAACATGAATTTTTTTTCTTTACTTCCCTAATTGATTTATTTGTTTTTACTTTTTTTATATGGGAAAGAATATGTACACATTGTTTTAAAAATAATTCCATTATATTAAGACTCGCATGCTTGTAATTCACATATTTAATTATTAACAATATTATTAATTATATTTAAATTTATTTATTTTAATTAATTAATATATCATTTTAATTTACTTAAATTATTAATCAAAATCATCAAATAATTATGTTTAATGTTTAGAAATTTTTATCATGATGCCATAATGGAAGTCTATAAAATTTGATAAAGTAATTGGATGGAGGCAATAAAATTATTAAAATTTGATTTTTTTTTATATGTGTTCCTACATGTACATTTGAAATATTCATATACATACGCTGTCTACTTGAATCCTGTATAACTTATATACCGAACAGAAACTTAAAATACAGCAATTTTTTTTTTTTTTGAAAATTAAATTATTTTTATAAGATAAAATACACAATCTACAAAAACTATAAAATAAATTTAATTATGAAAAAGAGACAAATTTAATAAAATTTGAATAAATTTAAGTATAGAGCATTTAAAGCTCAGATCGATATCCGAATCCCAAAATTTCTGTACACCATGTTTTAAAAAGACAACACAATATATGTATGTGTTATACATATAAGTATATAGAAAATTTTTTTTTTTTTAAATTTGGAGGTGTTGGATTTGAAAAAGAATTATTATTATGGCATTATTATCATTTTAAAAGTAATGCTCGATTTTTCTGAAACATCATCTGGGATACCAATCGGATTTTATATATACCACAATAATGAATAGAACCATTACTTCAACTCTATGTTCATGACAAAAATTAAATATACACACCAACCGGTGTGACGATTTTTGAATAATTTCAAATACAGTTATATTTTAACATTTTTCATTTTTTTTTAAATTTAACTCTCTTGTATAGAAATTTCTTTTATAGAAAATTTTTAAAAAATTGAATATATCAATTATAAAATCACGAAAATTATTTAACAGAATACAAGGTACATTTATACCCATAGCTATATATAAACCATATATCTACCCAATATGTAAATCTATACCCTTTACTGGTAGAGTACGTGAAAAAAATTTGTATTTTAAAGTCTATGGAACCGTAAAATTCTATACTCAATGATTTTTTCGCCTATGGAAGAGATCAATTTTTTTTTTCATTTAAGCTATTCTGTATTATTCTGTTAAAATATTCTTTATAATAAAATTCTTCAAGATATTTATGTATATGTATATTTATAACATATTATTTTATATTTTCTTATAATGTAGATATTTCATTATATTTCAAAGTTTTAAATTAACGAAGATATTAAATAATATGTTATAATAAATTATAATAATCAATAAAAATAGTACATGATAATTGTATTAAATATATGTATGTATAATGTAAGTACATATATGTTATTAATATTAATTTATAACAAAAAATTAATTAAATTTAAATCGTACAAACCACAACTATCATCCGAGTCTTAAAATTTTAGATGTTACAATGATTCAGAAATTAAAATTTTTTTTTTTTTTGTAATATTATAATTATATGTATGCATGTATATATGTATACATATATTATATACAAATTTTAATATGTAGATATAAATCATTCGTTTACATACATACAATTACTTGAATACATATTGTGTACATCATCCAAAATACAATAACAAAACATATATATAACGTTATGTATGTATCTAACTTAAAAAATTTTCATTGCAGACGATTTATATTTTAATATAAATATGTATGTTAGTATACATATATATTTATAATTACAAAAATAAAAGAAAAGAGAAAAATTATAATACACAATCATATTATAAATGTTCTAAAACTTATGGTCTGTTCTTAGTACAATAACAAAATTCGATATTGGGAAAAAGGAAAAACTTGTATACTTTACGTATGTATCTATATAACACATACTCAAAGTGTTATAATTATTGTATGTATATGAAAAGAAAATTTTGTATTAGAGAATTTTTTAAAATTTAAAGATTTTTTAAAATTTTTACGTCATCGTTTCATATATACATACATATATATTATATACTTTTATATATTTTTTTTTCTTTCTTTTTATTTCATTGCAAAAATCGGAAATGTTAAAACCACGTTTTTTTTTTTCATATTTAATTATGATTAAATATTTTTATATAATATCAAAAAGAATCGAAAAATTAAAATAAAATTGCATGTGTATATACGCACAAATACAACATAATGCATACGTACGTATTTTAAGGAACGTGATATGAAAATAGATACTAATTTTCTTTTGGTTTATTAAGAAAATTTAAAATTTAAAAAATTCGCCATATAAGCTTGATTGTAATTTACAAAATTTTTTACTTTTATTACTCTTCATAATCATTTTCAATTCGATTAAAAAGAAAACTTAATAATGAAAAATCACATACAAAAAAAATAAGAATTTTGACTTCCCTTATATTTTCAAGAAAATAATGTTAATATTTTAAAATTGTAAATAAGTATTTCATCACATTTATTGTAATAATTTTCCACACAGTTAATTTTTCAACACTTTACATATTTAGTCCACCATCAAAAAAAAAAAAGAAAAACCACAAAGAAGTCACAATTTTTATATTAAAATTTTTTTAAGTCTAGGTCCTATAATAAAACTCCTAATTTTGTAATCCTTAAACGTAATCAATTTCAATATTAACGGTAATATAAAAATTTTAAGGAAAAAAAAATTAAATATATTTTGTATATGCACGCCATTATTATAACTCACGTTTTTTAACTGTCTAAAATTCTATATATTGCTACATCATTTTTTTTGAAAATTTTCACAATTTGAAATTATAATATCAAAAAAATTATCTTACCATTAAATAATTTCAATTAATTAAAATATTATTTAAATATTTTCATTCACCGATGATTAAATTACAATAAAGATTTTAATAGATTTTAAAATGAGAAAATTTTTAAAAAATGAAAATTTTATAAAAAATTTTTGTCTAGCCACAGGAAAATTTGTTACCACTTACCTCGAGCACAAAAAGTCGAAAGGCAGAATCTAATTTTTGAGAGTAAATTTTGCTCATGCGTTTATATTATACAAATATAATATTTTTTTATATGTCTAGAAGTTTTTAGTAAAAAAAAAATAAAAAGGAGAATAACAAAACGGCAAACAAACAAGGAATAAAAAAGAAAAAGGCCAATTTAAATGAGTTTTCCGAATTTTCGCGAGAGAAGGAAAAATCGATTTTTTTTTCCAATTTTAAAACAATTTTTTCTCTTTTATTTATTTATTTTCTTTTCTTTTTTTCATATTTATACATACATTCAAAAAAAAAAAAGCCTTTGGAATTGTAATATTTAACTTACAGGCATACCCTTATGTAAAACATCATATACATATGTACATATAATTGTATATTTATGAAAATGCATAAGTGTTTGTCAAAATTAAATCACCAATTTAAAACACTTTTTTTATTTTTCCTGTTTTTCCGTTAAAATGCCGGGTATTCCGTAGTACAAAAAATATGTACATAATATGTGCATACATAATTTATATGTACTTATATTCCGTACAGTAGGTATGACGAAATTTTTTGTATAATTTTGGTTTATGCGAATGTGCACAAAGATAAAAATGAGGTTAAATACAACAAAAAATGTTAATATTAGCACAATTAATCACTAATAATATAATTTTATAATTTAAATAATATTACTTTAATTATTATTTTATATATTAAAAAAAAGGTTTTATTGTACATACCTTCAATTTCCTTTTATTATAATATAAAAATTCAAAAAAAAAAAGAAACTAATATGAAGAAAATTTTCTTTGTATATTCCTTACGAACCCAATGACTAAATGAAATGATGGCTAATGTGGGAGTTTGCATATAAAAGAGATTTCTATTACGATTTATCTCATATCGCTGTGACTAACACCGACAATTTTTTAGACCAACCATGCGCAATAACGTCCTTTAAATAAATTTCAATACACATTTCTATCATATTAATACATACAAGCAAATATACATACATACATATGAATTTTTTTATTTTGGAAGTTTTTTTTTTTTATTTTCTTAATTTTTGAACAATTCATCATTGAAATATTGCCGATTTTTAACAATTTTACAATAAAATCCTTTGAGCTTTCCAGCAATGTTTTAGAGGTGGTTAATCTGTTATATCAATTTAAAACAGTATCTAAATATATACATACATATGTATATATGTAAGTACATAAGTACTCATTCTTGAAAACATGTAGGTATATTCTATGTACATTAATAATTATGAATGATAGAAAAAGAGCGTTCACTGTTAAAACATTTTATTAAAAAGCAAAGGTAAGTTAAAATTTTTATCTAACTGTGTACATATATTTTAAAATTAGTAACAAACTTTTTCTTCCAGGTTTAAAAATGCATTTTTCTAAAAAAATCAGTTCCATATCAGATAGATACACAGGTATGTGTGGATGTTTATATTATAATTATGCACATGGCTACATAAGTTTCTAAATATGTATATACTGCCTAGCCGGAGTGAAACTTTCGTTTGTGTTTTTAATCTTCTACCTACCACACAACAAAAAAATATGTGTATATTAACAATATCAAAATGTCAACCATGCTGAAATGAATGAATCTGAGAAATGAAATGTGAGAACACGAAATTAGCACCTCTTATTGAATAAAACTAACGATACTTTTAAATTAAAAAAAAAATTAGCCTGCACAAATTGCATGTGGTGATACACGTTACACAATTCTGGCAACTGTAACTCTTAAACTGAATTTGTCTAAATACCTTATTGCGATTTAGAAGTTAGTGCAAAATTGTTTTTATCTTACAATACAACACACAATTATGATATTAATTTAATGTTTTATATACATATATTATATAATATTTTGGTACTGTAACAAAAATCTTTAAGAGAAGAAAGATTTAAGATTTTATTTAAACTTTTATTGTACCTTATGTATGAATACAAAGATTCGCTTTTATTAATACTATTCCTCTCTTTGAAAACTCAAAACATTTTGAATATTGGAAAAATTAAAAAAAAAAAAGAATTTTCTTTTTTCTAAAGCACAACTGAGAATTTACATGTACCTATTTACATATCAAAATCTTAAATAGCACCACCGACACGGAATGATAAAAAGCCGGAGTAGTTCTTCAAATATTAAAATTATAGTAGAATATTAAGATTTACTTAAAGTATTAATATTGTGCTAAATATAAAAATTAAAAATATGCCACTATAGCAAATAATGTAGAACCCGCGTATTATACTGTTATATACGTGTATTTTTGTTTTAAAATTAAAACAAATTTTATAAAAAAAAAAATATTAAAAAAATCTTTTATATACTAAAATGAAGTATATTTCATTGTTCTAAATTTAAAGTTTCTTCCCAATCGAATTCTTCCGGTTGAATATTCCGTTCAGCTAAAAATTCATTAAACTGTTCTGGTATAGACATAAATTTTTTGATTCTTGATCGAAATTGTTTAGCTGTAAGTTGATAAAAGTTTCTTCTATCTCGTACCATAGCATTATAATCCAACTTGTACTTATCCAAAAAATAGATTAGTTCCTTAATGTGCCCTTTTGGAAGTCTAAAAAAACAAAATTAAAAAAAAATAACAATAAGCATAAAACTAAAATATAACGTGCATTTATTTTGTTGTTTTACCTAAATTGTGAAACCCTAGGGGCTTTTGCTTCTTCTTCTAATTTTTCAGCTACAAATGCTTTCCTTGGTTTGCGTGGTTTTCTGTTTTCCTCATTATCTTCTTCATCATCATAGTCGTTTACCATTTTCACGATTTTCAATCGTTCTTGCTTAAAATTTGGTATAGGTACGCTCCGATTAGGATCTATTGCTAAGCCCATGTCCTTAATATTAGTGGTCGCCGCTTTTTTATCATCCCAATATTGTTTAACATCAGTTCTGATAATTTCAAGAATTAATACCAAATTTCTTTCATTTAAAATCAAATAAATACCCACTCCTTAATTTTTCCTAGCGATTGCCTTTTCTTGAAAACTCGCTTTCGATTTTTATTATATTGGAACTTCTTACTTCTTCTAACTTTTCGTATTTTCATTATTACAAAATAAAATTAACTTTAAAAGCTCAGAATAAAAGAAAACCAAACAACACGGGTATATTATGGTTTACGAATTATGATATCAATTATTATTGAATCAATTGTCAATTACACGCGTGTTCAGTTTGTATTGAAATTTACGATATAAGTGACAAATGACAATTATTAACTTAACTTTCAAAATACGAAATTTATAAACACTTTTGTTTTGAAGTGTAGGGAGGTAGTATAAAAAACATTTTCCGCTCGAAATTGAGAGCAAACTGAGTTCCAATTTGTATATTCTTTTAGAATACTTCATCGCCACAAAATATTTTTTTTTGCTGCTAAAAAATTTTGTATTTTTATGATGTTTAAGTAAAAAGTTTTTTGCATTTCTGTATTATTTGTATAATTAATCGTTATGCGCAAGCAAAATGTTTATCTTATTAAAATTTTCATAAAAAAAACCTGTTTTATATGATTTTCAAATTTAGTTCATATCTTTTAAAAAATCTTTAAATTTTTAATGAAAATTGAGTTGTTTCTTAGCATAGTAATGAATAAACGTAGATTTTGTCGTATTTGTAAAAAGTAATTAAGTTTGAATCTGAGCCTAATGAAACTCGCAAGGAAATACGATTTGACATTAAACTTTGCGCTCTATTCTCAATAGATTTATTGTCATATTTTTTAAAAGTAAAATTTTTTGCGAAACATTCGAGCAGCGGTTTTAATTTTCATAAAAAATTGTTAAATTTTAACGTAAAGTTTGATATAATTTTAGTCGAAACAGTCGTCAGACCTCATCGTGAATTTTATCTTAAATTTGTCATATAAGTTAACAGTACCGTGGATTTGGTTGTATATTAAAATCAAAATAATAAATAAATATTAACACATATTTTATTTACTTCTTTTCGATAAATTGATAACCTGCTTTACTTTGATACGATATTATTTAATAGTAGCGGCAACATTTCTTTATTTTTGACAGCCGGTAATTAAAAACATTAACTGTCATAAAAAACAGTAAATAAATTTCTAAAGTAGAAAATTTAATAATTAAAGTGTTGTATTAAATAAATAAATAAAAATGAAAGATACAGAAATTCTTGACCCAAAAAATATCGTCAAAAATAGAGAAATCTTATATCGTTTAATGATAAGGTCAGTCAAAAGTATGATTCAAGTATATATAGTATAATATTGTTTTTTTTAGCCAAATGTTTTATGATGGATATCATAATATAGCTGTTGAGTTAGCGTCAGTTGTTAGGGCGGATCCACCGTGCCCACCGAGTGACAGATTACTTCATGTCATGATAACGGGAATGCAAGCTGAAGAACCGAGACGGCAAGAAAATATTTTTGAAGATTTCGCTTTAGGTATAGACTTAGAGTTTGAAACTGAAGGTTCAGCATTAGCTCCTGAACCTGCTTCATATGAAACAGCTTATGTTACTTCACATAAGCATGCTTGTCGTTCAGGAGCTTTCAGTTCTGATGGTCAATTAGTTGCAACTGGCAGCGTTGATGCAAGTATTAAAATATTGGATGTAGACAGAATGTTGGCAAAGTCAGCTCCAGAAGAAGTTGAACCAGGTCGTGAGCAGCAAGGACATCCCGTTATAAGGACTCTATACGATCATACCGATGAAGTAGCCTACTTAGAGTTTCATCCAAAAGAGCAAATTTTGGCTTCAGGATCTAAAGATTGCTCTGTTAAATTATTTGACATATCCAAAGCTTCAGTTAAAAAAGCGCATAAGGTTTTTACAGATTGTGAGCCAGTAAGATGTCTTTCCTTTCATCCAACGGGCGATTATATGGTCGTTGGTACGGAACATCACGTTTTAAGAGTTTATGATGTTAATACAGCTCAATGTTTTGTAAGTGCAATTCCCTCTCAACAACATAAAAGTTCAATTACAACTGTGAAATATGCGCCAACCGCAAAGTTTTATGCATCAGGCAGTACAGATGGGGCAATAAAATTATGGGATGGAGTTAGCGGTAGATGTGTGAATACATTCCCTCAAGCTCATGAGGGAGCTGAAATTTGCTCGTTACAGTTTTCTAGAAATGGAAAAGTAAGTGTATAAATACATACTTGTTTTGCAATTATTTAAAAACCTAAATGGCTAAAAATTTCTTTTAGTATTTGCTTTCTTCTGGACAAGATTCTCTAGTGAAGCTGTGGGAATTAAGTACAAGTCGATGTCTCATTGCATACACAGGAGCTGGAACTACAGGAAAACAAGAACATAACACTCAAGCAGTATTTAATCATACAGAAGATTACGTTCTGTTTCCAGATGAGGCAACAACATCACTATGTTCCTGGAATTCTAGAAATGCATCTAGATTAAATTTAATGTCATTAGGGCACAATGGCCCAGTTCGCTATATTATTCATTCGCCCACGCAACCGGCATTTCTCACATGTTCTGATGATTACCGCGCTAGGTTTTGGTATCGTCGTGATCAAAAAATTTAATAAAATCTATATATATGTACGTAATGATACTTCATTTTTTATTTTAACTGCTTTTAATATGTACTACAAATGGTTATCATTTTATTTGTTGTAATTCGATAGCATTAACTTGATTGCTATTTCATAATTACAAAACATTTTCAGAACAGCAATATCATATTGTTACCAATCTCAACAGTAATATTATATATGTACATATGTACATACATTATGTTGAGGGTTCTTTTTTCAGGATAATTGCAATTTTAAAATCAAGGAGTGTTTTGTATAGCATAAATATGTATATATGTATATATGTAAATGTGAGATTTTCTAATTTTCAATCATGAAAAAACAATCTTTAACAGACAACGTTGTCACAACCTTAAGATGGATTTTCGCTTAACTTAAATAATATATATATAACGTTCGAAAATAACCTTAGATATGTAAGTTCTCAGTCCTGCTCCTGCAAGCATAACTGAACATTCTTTTTCAGTAACATACTAAACTTTCACCTGAAGCGAAATCACACAAATGTATTTACACAAAAATATGCACGTATGTACATATATGTATATATTTGAAATATGTCTGTCAAAAGTTTTTTCTCAAAGCTGTAAACATAATGAGAATATAAAAATGCACTTTCGACAACTGCAAAATCTTTATTAATTATATCGAGTGCAATATAATCAAGAAGCAGAACAACAATTTAAAATAAAAGACATTTGATTTCGTTTTCAAGATTGGGAAGTACGAAAATTCAAAATTTTGAAAGTGCTTTTAATATTTTTTTGTTTTTGTTTCTATATTTTATATTGCAATCAAATCCAAATACAAATGTTGAATGAGGCTAACCATTATGAATTTTGAAATGTCAAAGTAAAATGAATGCAAAACTTCCATCCCAGCGATGGTAACACGAGTGATCCCGCACGTCATAAAAGGAAGCTAGTGTTTTTGTTTAATTCTAAATTTATTACAGATATTTTAAGTCTAATTGCGAGATTTTACTGATTTAAAAGAAAAACTTGAATATGGCAGATTTAGTATGGGGAATTAAAAACGGAGAACTGGACCAAGTTAAGGATTATATTGAAAAAACGAATGTTGACTTAAACAATGAAATCAGTGGCAGGTGTCCAGTTCACTATGCGGCAGATTATGGCCAAAAAGAAATATTAGAATTTTTAATATCCAAAGGTGTTGATGTCAATTTAAAAGATAAACATGGTATTACGGCATTGCTAGCAGCTATATGGGAAGGTCATACAGAATGTGTCCGTTTGCTTTTGGCAAACGGAGCTGTTAAAGAAGGTACAACACCAGACGGAACCAATTATATAGATGCTGCTGAAAAAGACGAAATAAAAGAATTACTGCGTTAAAAGTATTTATTTCAAGAAAGTAGCGTTAGAAAACTTTTTATACTTATCATTCTTTTCTATAAATGTAAGTTCAAATATATAATGAGCATCTATAATTTATATTATTAATATATAGTTAAAATTGAAGAAAAAATAGTTTTAACTAAATAAAAAATACACTTTGTGGTAAAAATAAGTATTGTAAAATAAATGTAAGCTTTTTAATATTATTTCTTTAAAACCAGTTTTATTCAAAATAAATTGTATTTTAATTAAGTATTAATGATTTTTATTGCAATTGCAGTTTGTAAAGTAATGTACAAAATTTTAAATTGAAATAGTCAAAGTTTTTTCGTTCTAACAAGCCGTTTATCTGATCCTTTATTTTACAAATGTAATCTTATGTAAACTAAAGTTTTCACATTACCCATGACTAAAAAAAATCTGCAATTGTACACTATATTATAAGTGTTTATTAAGTGAATCATTCAAACACAACTTTTCTTTTGAAATTATTTGAGTGAGGTCTTCGGATTGGTCCTACGTAACCAGCGTTGGAGTCTAAAGTATTATTGAGAAAGTAATTTGAAGAATTTGTATTTATATTTGATGCATCTCTTGTGAAACTTTGACTTTCATTTCTTACGAAATCATTAAAAAAGACATTATTGTCTTGCCCGTAGTTTTTAAAGTGTGGTTCCAGGTCTTTATTTAAGTATCTTTGGTCATAAATTTGTGCCCTATAAAAAGTACAAGACGAATCACCATAATTCAGATTTCGAGCATGATAAGGGTTAGCATAGGTTTCGTAGGATCTCGTAATTGTATTAGGTATTTCATTTGGTTTTCTTGACATTAACCGTCTGTCAGGAGTTGTTATTGTTGTTTCATACAAGTGTTTTTCTTTTAAATACTCAGAATGTACTGGATGAAATCGATAGTTCCTCCTTGAATTATTTAATTGATGATAATTTGGTTGTTGATGGGATATATATGATGGGAGTTCACTATTATTAACGTAACGTTGTTCAATATTTTCCGGAAATTTGTTAAATTCGTGGTTTCTGTTGATATAATAATTGTCTGTGTATAAATTTGGCTTACACACCTTTAAAGTGTTCAAGAAATCAAGGTAATTCGTCCTTTCTATTGGATATCCTCTGGCATCATTAAAGCGTTTGATAGCTTCAATTGGGTCAATTTTAAGTTCCGTAACCATAAAAAAGCAAATTAAAAATCCTGTTCGGTTAACTCCGTGTGTACAATGAACACCAATTAATTTTCCTGAGTTTAAATTAAACTTTAAATATTCTTTTACTAATCTACAAAAAGAACTTCTGATTTGTTCATCAGGAACGTCATGCCCCCTTGTCATTAATTTTTTATATTGCACTCCATTTTCTTCAAAAACTTGTGAATCATAATATCTGTTTGTATTAGTCAAATCAATGATCAGACCCAAATTTGGAACTCTTTCCATTAGTTGAATTTGATTGAATCTTTCACTTTGATACAAATTTTCGTCGAAACTAGATTTCAAAGGCACTTTAAAAGCGATGAAATTTGTCCCGTAAATCTGACGCCCAATAGCATCATAATTCAACCACCTATCCGGAATACTGTTTTTACCCATCTTCAATTTAATTCGTGTTTAATATTAATTCAATTTAAATAGGTTTATCATAAAATTCAGTTAAAAAATAATTGTAACTTTTGTTACAATTATTTTCAATTGAACTGACAACATAAATTTTTGTCACAGTTTTGACTTACATATTATGTTGTGAAGCGTTGCCAAAGGAAAGAATTACAATTTTCGAACTAAACTTCAAATAAAACAAAAACATTACTTTAATAATAAAACAAACCTTATAAAATTGAATTGTTTTATTTCTTTTGGAAATTAATTAATTCTTTTTTACAAAGCGGAAATGTTGGTTTTTTTTAAATGTAATTCTTTGCTTTGCAAATACTCTCACACCTGCATTTCATAATTGTTTAATGAAACTACTCTTTTCAAATGAAAATTTTAATTTTTAATACTAACTCATTTTTTTTATGCTAAAGAGTCACTAACATTATTATAAGTATACCTCTAACTATTGCCAATCCAAACTTGTCTTTATAGAAATGCCAAAATGATAAGAACGTAAAAAAAACTGACACATTTTTGTTATGACAACTGCCAAAATGAAAATAGAAACCTCTAGTAGACATTTAAGCTCAAAGAATTTAAAAGCAACAACTTACAACATGTGTTAATATTGAAATTTTGTAGCTTGTACACTTTACTGCATATTAAATAAATATATATGAAATGTTTGATAAGAGTGCTTTAAACAATCACGTAATATTTAAATTTAAACGTTGCGAGGATTATAAATTTATGTTTTTTGTCAACAGATTACTTCTCATAAAAATTCAGTAAAGAAGGCCAAAGTATCAGTCATCAATAAACTAGTGAGGAAATGTCGAAAGTTGGAAAAATTACAGAAAACTCCATTGAAAAGTAAAGTAAATCGCAAACTAGAGCGCATTACATCGACAATTGCTGCTGTTAAAGTAATACAAATATCCATTTTAAATATTATTATAATTTTACTAATTTTAGAAATTGAATTGCTTACAAATCCTAAAAAAAGCAATTTTATTTGAAAATGATCCTAACATTGTGATAACAAATGGAAATGCTTCAGTTGAAAATTTGGCGGAAATGTTGGTTTTTTCCAACAAAATTATTCGGGAGATTGTTGCTAGTTTAAAAGTTAAATTTAATTTAAATAACAACAATCCAAATTGGAAAGAATATTTTCAGAAAGAACGTAAAAAAGCTAAGGCAAAAACAGTTTCAATTTCAGAAAATTTGTCAACATCAATGAATGACTCAAAAATCACAAAAATAAGAGAAGAAAATACAGAGAAACGAGAAGTTCAACATAAGGTTAATAACCTCTTTCCTGAAAACAAAATAATTAAATTCCATGACAATACGAAGGGAACAGTAAATGAGAAAAATCTTGATGAAAAATTTATATCAAAACCAGATCCCTTTTTCACTACAAAAAGTGGAGACAATTACATATCGACAGTATATTTAGATGATAGAGAAGTAAGCGAATATAAAAATGTAGATAATCCTTTTAGTAACCGAAAACATTCTAATGATGTAAAAAATAAAAATTTTGAGGGAGAAAATCATTATCAATATAAAAATAGCAAAAATTACAATCGAAATACTGCTAAACCTAAAACTTCGTTCGTCCAGGTTAGTGAAAAAGCAAATAAAAATAAAATCATTAGATTTGAAGAATTTGAGGAACCTTCAACAGATAAAACAAAATCGGACACTCCGGAAACGTGTGCAAATGCAAAGAACAATTCCAAACATAATTTGCATCCTTCATGGCAAGCGAAGCAAAAAATCAAACCAGTAATTCAAGAATTTAAGGGACAAAAATTAGTATTTGAAGATTGAATCCGTTAGTTTGACATTCACTTAATAGAATTTTTTAAAAACGGAATGGCTTCTAATTTAACAATTTATTTTTGTATAAACTAAAAAATCCAAATTCAATATGATGTACAATATATGTATCTACATACACGCTTATAATATAAAAATGTTTTTATATTCAAAAATTTATAATATTGATTCTATTATTTTTTTTCTATTTCTGGCACAAAATGGCCTCTGGTTTTATCTTTTTGTATTAATTTTGGTATATCAACATCTGGGAACCTTTCCTGAAGCAAATTTTTATCTAATCCCGGATTCCTCCTTAATAACATCATCACTTCATTTCTTCTGCGACTAAAAATATATTTTAATTTGAAATAGAAGAAACACAAGGAAACAGTAAAACTTACTTTTTTGCCCTCCTCTTTTGATTGTAAAGTTTCTCACGGTATAACAGCTGGAATTTCAATGGAACTTTCGTACTAGAATCAAATTTATGAGTTTTATACCATTTTGAGTTCATAAATTGCGGTATAACGTGTTCACATGATTTATAATAAAAGTTATAGCCAAGGGAGTTGGTTACCATTTGTCCGGGTCTCTCTCCACTCTCACCTGTTTCTAATTCGTGATAAGCCCTATTTCTTTCTCTAACAACCGTTTCTAAATTTCGCATTGAAATTTTCACTTTGTCAAGTCTTTCCGGACTAGGAAAAAGTTGCATATTTTCGTTGCATTCGTGTTCCATTGTCAGAAGCATGTTTCTTTCTTTCAATAATATATACCAAAGTTTGTGTAAATCAACATTTGATTTGATTCGGAGTTCATCCAGTTGCCAGTGTCTTCCAACTTTAACCTCACTTTCACCCCAATTTTTTTTATCATCAAAAAATTCCATTAAATCTTTTAATATTTTCGTAGTGTGAACCTTTTTTGTCAATATGAATGATGTGCTTTGATTGTTCGAACTACAAATAAACGTATTAAAAATCTTTCAAGTTTTTTTTTAGTTTCTGACTTTAATGAAGGTAGAATTTTGCTACAATATCTAGCATTCCCACATAATTTGCTGAAAATTCTGAACATTGCTTTTATGTACTAAATATGCATAAAATTTTGAAAAATATAAAAAATAAATTAGATTTAAACTAAAAGCAACTCCACAGTGCTCTAAGGAAAATTGAAATCTGATCCTGGAGATATTTTTTTCGTTCTTACTGCAATAGTAAACAAATACCAATCAACTCTATTTTTATTTTTTTTTAAATAATTATTATGGGTTTTCTGTCAGATGTGTTGATGGTAGATGTACAAGATATGCCTGACGTTTCAGAATTTGGTGAATTACAGTTTAACTATAACAAAATTTTCTATACTCATTTAATTTATCCCCTTACGAAACCGTATTCATTTTCAACACCAGTATCTTTATCAAAAATAAGCTTTGTCTCGTGAGCGTGTTTTTTTTACCAAGAGCAATTATTTAATTTTTTGACAAGTCGTATTATTTTAAAATAGGGCGTTGTGAAAAAATAAATCGGCTATGTTAATTTTCGAAATCATACGTTTATTATGCTGTTGCTTACCATAGATAATATATAATATATAACTAATAATAAAAAATGTACCTTTATTTATTTAATTTAGTTGTCCAATATGAGCAATAATATAAAAAATTGTATATGTAATATAAAATATACTACGTTATGTATGATATATCATAATTATATTAACATTATAATTATTCAATTATAGAACATATATGCATATGATAGTACATATAACATTGTGTATACATACATACTTATATACTATATAGTAATTTACGTTTCTTTCAATAAATCAATACTACTTATCATAAAAACAAAACGGCCAGTTGTTGTTCAGATTTATTTTGAATTTGAAATGAAAAAAGCAAAAATTAATTTCATTGTTTAGATGAGTTTGTTCATGCTCACTAAAGTGAAATAAATATCGGCGGTTCGCGGTTTGAATACATGTTTGGAAAATCGATGAGTGTTTCTATTTGATAGAAAAACTTGTAAATAATTTTATATTTTTCATTGTATTTTGATTGAAATATGGAAAATAATGAAATTGTTTCTAAAGACTGTGGCGATGCGTTTGGATTTGCACGTGGTGAACCTCAAGCAAGATTTGCAAAAATGCCGGTTGAACGTTATGCTGCAAAATATAATATGAAGCATAAGAATCGAGGAGTGGCTATTATATTTAATCATGAGCATTTTGATATACCGTCATTGAAATCCCGTGCTGGCACTAATGTTGATTGCGAAAATTTATGTTATACTTTTAAACAACTGTCCTTTGAAGTTCATGTTTATAAGGATAAAAAATTTAAGGATATACAACTTGTGATTGACCAAATAGCTAACAAGGATCATAGCGAAAACGACTGCATTATAATAACTATTTTGTCACATGGTGAATTCGGATATATATATGCTAAAGATGTACAGTACAAATTGGAATCAATATGGCATTATTTTACCGCTGCCAATTGTCCTTCGTTGGCAGGTAAGCCAAAATTGTTTTTTATTCAAGCCTGCCAAGGTGAACAATTAGATTCCGGAATAACTTTATCTAAGACTGAAACTGATGGTATGATTGGTGATAATATGAGTTACAGAATACCGATTCATGCTGATTTTCTAATAGCATGTTCAACAGTACCAGGATTTTATTCGTGGAGGAATACAACAAAGGGATCATGGTTTATGCAGTCTTTATGCGCTGAGTTGAATTTACATGGAAAGAAGTACGACATTTTAACTTTACTTACATTCGTCTGTCAAAGAGTTGCGTTAGATTTTGAATCAAATACTCCAGACTATCCAATAATGCATCAGCAGAAGCAAATCCCATGTATAACGACAATGCTAACAAGAATATTACATTTTGGTGACGACAAATAAATACAAAACAAAGCGCAATAATATTACATTATCAAATAATGTTTTATAAAATAAGTATACAGGTTTACATTACATATCTAAAATGTATATCAAATATGATAATAAGTTTGTACAATATAAAGTATTTTTTATATGGAATTTCTTAAATAAATTTTTTTTATATTTGACATTGAATTAATTTATGACTTTCAATTTATGTAATAGCTCCTATATTATTATGTAATATAGTTCAAGTTTCCTAAATGGGTAATAGTTTGCAAAGTCCATATAAGCTTACAGGCTCTTTATTCCTTTTTATGGTAGACATGACCCTCAAAAAGTTTGCAACAATTTTTTTAAACAAAATTGTTTTAGAGTTAATTCAATTTTATTAATCAACAGATCACTTTCTTAGCTCGCTTAGTAAACTGATGAAAATAAAAAAAAAACACTTCGTAATTTTAATAGCATTTATTTTAAAATTTTTATTTAGGTAGATTAATACATAACACAAATTGGGGTATTTGTATATAAAGTTACAATTTATTATTTTAAAAACATGCTGTAAAAAAATCTCAACGTAAGTAATTTTTAAGCTAAAGCAATTATAAAAATATAAACTATAAGATGAAGTAAAGCATATATTTTATATGTATCAATATTACGAAAGTTATCAAAATTTAAATTAATATCCACTGTATTTATTTAGTAAAAGTACGTAATATTATAGAACACATAAATAATTAATCTATTCAAAATGATTTGTAGTAAAGAATATGGATGTTTTTTCGCCTAAACTTTTTACTGGATATTTTGTAAAGCTTTTATAAACACATGATAATTTTTTATAAATACAAAAAAAATTATAATAAAATTTTACAACTTCAAGCTAATTTTTTCACTTTAAAGTTTTAGCACATAAATTCATATATGCAAAAAAAAATTCCTGTATACATGGGGATATGCTATAAGGGAAAAAATGTTATATAAAATGCAATGCATCTAAAACAGAATCATAACATTTTTATAGTATATTTCATCGTTAATAATTCTAAGCAACTAATTTTCATCATTAGCTTCATAAAATAGTTTAATTTAATGAATGAATATAATATGAATAATATCTGATCATTTGGATAATAAAATTTGAATGAAAATATTTTATTTTTGCTTTAAGTGATATAATTAACCCGGTAAAGTTATAATACCCGATACAAGGAAAACATAACGTATATACATACATATATGTTGTTTTAAATTACTTATATTTTTAATATTAATTACATATTTGCTTCAATTATTCTGTAAAATTTACAAAATAATATTGGCATTCTTTTTATATATAATATACAATTATATTAAATTATTTAAACATGTTTCATATAAGGTAAATTTTCGTTTTATACTTTTTTATCTGTTTCAAAATCACTAATATTCTGTTTTATTTAATTTACATAAAAAAGTTTATTGTGTTATTATAATTAATAATTGTATATTATGGTGTAGTTTTCATTTTTGTATTAAAATTCTAAAAGCATGTGGCATATTAATTGAATGATAATGTGTGATATTGTTTTAAAAAGTTTTAATTAAAATTATTTAATTTAAAGAAGAATCAAAAAATTTTTATCATTAATATCATTTAATCAACTTTGATTTACAAGATATTATTTTAAATAAGTGTTTTACAGAAATTAATGCAATCAATGAATGCAAAAAAAATTTATTTTAATTGCTTTGTAATATCATTACTTATTTGGAATTATTCTAATAAAATTTACTCTATATTGAAAATAAATGATTTTGATACAAAAGTTTTTTTTTTTTGTTAGAAATGATTTCTAGTGTTTCTTCCATTAGGAATATAAAATAGCAAACATGTATCTATTAAAATATTTCTGATGCAATTTAGAATTGCAAAAATACATACTGCCTTATTATATAAAATTGTATTTTCTGTAAGAAATCGGATATTCCTTGATGTGCATCTTAAAATGTTTTATTTTTTTCATATATATGAATATGTACATGAAATTGAAAAAAGGATGAAATAAAATTGATGTTTTATTTCAATATCTTTTTTTTGTAAACATAAGATATCAAAAAATTAACAATTCTAATTACAAATATAAATTATACTTCCTAACGTAACATTTTCCTAACGTAAAATTCAATAAAAATGTTTCTTTTTCTTAAAATGTCACGCTATTTTTTTTTTGATGTGCTGCACACTTGACAAAATGTAAGTTAAGTAAATAAAATTTTTACAATAGTTTACTTCTTAATGATTTTTTTTTACTTAACAATCTATGCTTAACCTAAATTGTAAAAGTTAAAAACAGTATTGAATATTAATTATTTTTATTTACTTAATATTTATAAAATATATAATTCTAATAAAAAAATTTTTGTGTATCATATTTTGAGAAAGTTAATTATCTTTTAACTTTATTAAAAAATAAAATATTTGTGTGTGCAACAAGTCTTTTATATTCAGAAATATACATATAAAAAATCAAATCTATAATTAAAAAATTAAAATGGTACGAATAACTGAATTAATAATATTTTTTTCTTTTTATTTTTTGTTTTCTTTTACATAATAATAATTAATAAAAATACATATAAAAATTATGCGTTCGTTTTCGATTATGTTGTAATTATTGTTACTTAATTTGTGATAGAATACTAAAACTAAAATAATATGCTTGTTTTTTTCTTTTTTTATTCAACTACATATTTCAAATTTATGTTAATTACTTTTGACAAAATATTGATGAAAATATAATTATCGTAATTTACTATTTAAATATTTATGCGCAAATCCTCTTATATACATATATAAATTATATATAAATATATATTATATATATATATTTATATGTATATGTATATATGTTTTAAAAAGAGAGTTATAATTTGAAAAATCTAAGTTAATGTATCAATCAATAAAGTTACTATCTCAATACTTAAGTGCTGTGTAAGAAAAAAAAACATCTATTATTATGGCAATTAAGTATTAAAGTAGTTTTGTATTTTTTTTTAATTTATATAAATTTAATAATTTTATCTCTTAAATTTACATAATGAAAATTTTTCATTTTTTATTATTTTGCATACAAACGAAAAACTTAACATTGAATGTGTGGTCATACTTTAACAGTTACAATAAAACAAAAAATATATATATTTATATATATATATATATATATATATATATGTTATAAAATATGATCAAAATATTTAAAAAAAATCGAAAAAATCTAAAATTTTTACACTAAAAACAATTTGGTACAAAATCTCGTTTTTTTTTAACTTAAAACTTAAAATGCAATTAATTGAAACGAAATAAAATCTGTTCAAATTTCTCAACTTCTTTTAAGATTAAATTTGGAGTGGAAAATTAGAAAAAAAAATTAAAAAACGGAAAGTATGCGGCGGGTTTGTTAATAATTGAAGAAATAAATTTTTCTCTTATATTCAAAAATATCTTTGTTTTATTTTCACTTCTTATAATTTACGGTTTTGATTTTTTACTATATATATATATCGCCGTCTTAATAAATTTATAATAATATAGTTTCTATTTACTTTGAATATCTTATCTTGCGTTTGCCAGCACTTCAAAATTTCTACAAGTTCCATTCTTACATGTAATTTATTAACTTTTTTTGTTTATTTTTGCAAAATTTTTGTTTTGTTACTCTCATTATTTATGTTAAAAATATTTAAAGAATTTCACATTTAAATCTACGATGTGGTAACTTGTTATGTTTTCGATTTTTCTTCCCTCGGGAATCTTTATCTTTTCTTATTTCTCTTACAAGTGTATAAAAAGCATCATCAACACCCATTCTAGTTTTAGCTGAAGTTTCGACAAATGGTATACCATATTGCTTTGCGATCTGAAAATAGAAAAGTATATAAATTAATCAGATTAGAAACTTCAATAGTAGTTTATAAAATAAAAAAAAAATATCAATTATGAAACAAAATGTTAAAACATTCTATCACTATAAATAGTTAACGAAAATATTATCTCAAGTTGTGTCAATTAGTGTGGTGTTTTAATTTTTAGAAAATTTTAATTTAAATTTTTATTGTGACTAAAAAAATCTTCAATGACGAGGGCACTTAATTTTTAACATTCTGTTTTCCTTTGTTTTGTAGCAGTATTTTTTATTAAGTTTTAACTTTTTAGGAAAATTTTTGAATTTATATCGCGAGTATGATTTTCTTTGTAATTCTAGTAAGGTCTTATTTATAAATTTAGGAAGGTCTTTTTTGGTAAAAAAAATTTGAAAAAACGAAAAAAATAGTTACACGTTAATATGCCATTTACTTTAAAGGTACTTATGGACATAAACTGAACAAAATCTATTCATTAAAATAATAGAATTTGAAAAATTGCACTCTTTAAAAAGCAAGTATTAAGTTCATACAATTGTAGAAAAAAATATAAAACGGTTTTTTCCAGCAAATCTAAGAACTTTAAAAAAAACAATAATTATTCTAAAAAAAAAGTTTTCGTTCTGATAGATGTACTCGTATATATACAAATAAAAAATAAATAAAGTCTCTGTTTAACTCTGAATTTGGGCACAAAATTTAGTTTAAATTAAAAGGAAAGTTTAACAATTAAAAAATATTGATGTTAGACTTTATAGTGATTATTCTAGATTAAAAAGTAAAACTTTTAGAGTTTGGTAACGAAAATTATAATACATATCGGAATACTAATCAAAATTACATTAAATACAAACCTCTCTTGCTTGATTCATATCAACCGCCCATGCTTGTAAGTCACATTTGTTTCCTACAAGTACCATCGGAACTTCTTCTGCATCTTTTACTCTTTTAATTTGTTCTCGATACGTTCCTTTAATAAAAAAAAAAAAATAAAACAAAATTAACAAAGATTAATATTTTATGTTAAAAATTTCATTATCAAACAATCATTTGCAATTGTTTGTAAATGAAAAATTGAATATACCTACCTATATCTTCAAAGCTTTTGGCACTATTTACAGCAAACACTAGTAAAAATCCTTCTCCTGTTCTCATATATTGATCCCTCATTGCAGAATACTCTTCTTGACCAGCGGTATCTAATATGTCTAAAAGACAAGTCTCTCCATCTAAAATTCGAACAATGCAGATAATATATAAAACTTTGAAGTTACATGGTTATGTAGATAAAGTAAGGTAAAACATATTTAAATGAACATAACAATAAACATAATTTTTTATTTAAAAATATTTATAATCTAAATATGTTTATATATTTTCAAATGAAAATGAAATTATAAAAACAAACACTCATGTTTAAAAATTTTATAAATAATTTAATAAAATTATTAGAAATTTTGATTGCCATAACCTCTGGGCATGATGTTTAAACCATTTATTTGAATATTATGTACCTTAATTTTTTTAAATCAATAAACAACAAATATTACCTATGACAACTTGTTTTCTATAAGAATCTTCAATTGTCGGATCATATTCATCAACGAAATGATTTTGTATTAATTGAATAGTTAAAGCAGATTTTCCAACACCTCCAGCACCAACAACGACAAGTTTATATTCAGTCATTTTACTTTTCTTTTAGTAAGTTTTTATTTACACCTTAAATTTTAAATGAAATTTTTCTCTTAAATATTTAAAGGGCAGAAATTATTTTTTCACTTATAAGTTGTACAAACACAAGTCCATCAAAATTTTATCTGTCAACATTCAAAGTTTACGGCTAGGTAATTGCAAAAAAATTTTTACTTTGCAAATTTTTTTTCTAAATAGTAATTTTTTTTTTATAAAAATTTCTACATTAGTTGTTTAAAAACTAAGAAAAAACTTTTCCTTCTTTCAATAAAAATATAAATTAAATGCAATACTTTAAAAAAAATTGAGAAAATGAACTCTGACTCATTCAATATTTATTTATTCTTGACGCCATAGCAAATTATTTCAAATATTTTCTCTGTCGGCAATCTGTATACGCAAAAATTACACCGCTGTTAAATTTCTCATTTTTGTATTAAATTAAATGAATATCAATATAGCTACCAAATTTATTCTTCAGATAAAATTTACAATGTGAAAATAAAAAAATTTATTATTATATATATTTTTAACAAAATTCTTTGTTCTACTGATCAAAGATAAAATAAATGCCTAGCCTAAATTAGAGTTATCATATAGCACAAAATTTTTTTAAAAGTTGTGCCAAGTCGATTGATATTTAGCATCATTTTAACATTTTCTTTTGGTTTCAACAATCAAATCAACTGTTTCATAATTACATTTGTACTGAATATATAATTTTTGAAAGTTTTATGAATAAAATTCCATGTTTAGTGATGTCAAATTTAATCGTGAAAGTAATTTAAACATGTATTTAACAAAAATCTACACAGCAATCATTTAATTATGCCAAATTAAAATGTGTAAAAAAATTTTTGAGGTACACAATTTCTATTGTCAACTGGCCATACTATAATTTTCATTTTGGCATTCTGTGCTGTCAATTCCTTCAATAAAAAAAAGTTTATATATGTCAATTCCGTTTATAAAAAAACAATATTATAGTAGATTCGGCTAAATAATTGTCCTACAAGTAAGTCAGCATTCAACTTACTAAACCAATCCTACCAAGGCTTGAAATAAAATATCACAATGTGAGACCATTGAGGTTTTTACATGTATGATTTTTATATATATATATGTACGTGATATATATGGATATTTTTTTATTTTCCACTTTTATAAGGCCACTTTTAAAATATCGTCAAACAAATGTGTGTAGGTTTTTCCTTTTCTCAGACTTAAGGGAATACTAATTGATTAAAACCTTGTCATCTATCACATAAGTATATAAATCTGAATTAAAATTTTGCGCAACCTTAAATTTATATTTTCGATAATGTAACATACTTCCAATATAAGCAACACAGTTGCCGAATTTTTAACTAAGCCAATATTTTGCTGTAGGAGGAAATAACAAAGTATATAATGATTGAATTTATTTTTGGCCTTATCTTTAAGTTTATCAAAAATTTAACAACTATGGTATTCAAATTTTGAAGTAAATTTTTTAAAAATCAACTTTAATTATTCCTTTTCGTTTTTCGTGATTACACACTTCTTATTAGGTAGATGTTGAAAAATGAAAAAAGATGGCAGCACTTACGTCGGGCAATATGAGCTGCAGCGAACTGTCATACAGAAAAAATTCAAAACAAAATAAAGTTATACGTAAGTATTGTAGAGTAATTGTAGAGGGAAGTCGATTTGATTGAATGGTTAAAAAATCAGACCACAATGACAGATAATCAAATGAAAATATTTAATAATAAGGATTTTCGGCCAGAAAAGTGTAAAAAGAATTCTTAATCATTGAAAATATTGTTATATTTAAATAAGGCTTTTTTTTAGATATTCAGAACCTGGTACAAGAATGTGTTGGTGGCTCTGAACTGCAACAAAAGAAACAACAAATTCAGGAATATAGCGAACAAACATCCTCTTCTCTTAAGAAATATGTTTATGCAAATTATATGCAATTTATTGAGACTGCGAATGAGATTCAACGTACCAAAATGCAAGTTAAACGAATCTGGAATTAGATTTAACTGTTATTTTTTTTGCAGATCTTGAATCTGAAATGAATCAACTTTCTCACATTTTGTTAATAGAACAACGGAATTTATTATCATGTTTAGGCGACGGTAATAGTCAAAATTTAAACAAAGAAGTGGAAGAGTATGATCAAGAAAGTAGCTCAGTTGACGAAAGTAGTCAGCAGGCCATTCGATCAGTTAAAGAATTGGTTCAAGGTTTTAATTCAAAAGTTCTGGAAGGTAAAACATTTTTGAATGATGGAGCCCTGATTGAATTAGATTCAAACGATTACCGACCTATTCAAAGAGTATTTTTTTTCTTATTTAACGATACCTTGATCGTATGCAAAATACGCCATGATAAGTTGGTACATTTAGTAAATTTGTGTTCATTTTTTTAAAATAATTGTTTTATAGGAAACTTGAATTTATATCACAATATGATCCTCGAAAAATTGCTGTCATTAATATTAAAGATCTAGATGGTGTAAAAAATGCTATCAATACAATAACAACAGATGGTTCCAAAATATTTCAATGTATATCTACAGCAGCAAAAGTTAGTTAATTTTCATAGTGACTAGAAAAAAAATACAGCACCTACAATGTTTTTTTTAAATTTTTAGAACGAATGGATAGAAAAATTTGAAATAGCTTTGAAATTTAATCAGCAATTAAATCAAAAATCCAAAAAAGGACAAACTCCACCTCCAGCATCTGTCCAAAAGCAATCTAATTCTCTTGATAACAAGTCAATAACAAGCGATATAACCGGTTCTCCCACAGAAGAAAACAATTCAGTTACAGAAAATTGGGCTCCAGATTGGTTGGCTATTGCACCTGAGGAAATTCAATCGTTTATTGCCCAAAGACATTTTGAAGAAGCATTAAATTTAATTCAAAAGTCGGAGGAATATATAGCTTATGATTCTACATTTTGGAATGCGTCAGAAATTTCTGGAAAAATTAAGAATTTAAAAACCAGTTTATCAAACGTTTTAATTGAGGAATTATCAAATTGTCAAGTACGAAGTTTACAAGCAGCACTAAGATCTTCTCGCCGCCCACTTAAACTTTTAGCTGAAATGGGAAAAGCTAGGCAAGCATGTGGAAAACTATTAAAAGTTTGTTCTAATGCAATTAGAATGACACAGCGTGAGGCAAGGAGGAATAATGCTGAAATATCAGAGTTATTTTTTTGCGATTTGTCTCAGGTCGTTAGTGAATTTTTAAGAGCTTTCAGCAATCAACCAGCTTGTGTTAGTTGTAAGCTAAATTTTATACATATTCCAATTAGTGCAATATTCTACTTATGCCATTAATATTCTTTGTATGCTTCAGCTTTAGTAGTCTGGTGCAATACAGAGTTGAGATATTTTTCAAATCAACTAATAAAACATTATCTTACCAAAGGTAGTCAATTGGAAAATGTTGCAAAATGCGTAGAAGGTGTAAGAAAACCATGTGCAAAAGTAAGAATATCAAGACTAAAATTCATATTAAGAATCTAAAAAAATTTTTTTTAATCTATCGAACCTAGCTCACAGAAATTGGTTTAGATCTTGGATACCATGTTGAGGGTCTGTTAAGAAGTACTCTTGAACAGATTATCGAAGATTCAAGATATAGATTGCTTGATACAATTGGTAGATCAGAAGATACATGGCAGCCCTATAACTTGCAAACAAAAACAAACTTAAAAAATTTATTACGTGAAATGGAAGGATTTGGCATAGATTTAAGAAATCATGTCACTGGGGATACCTGGATAAACTTGACTCAGTGTACTGTCAATTTCTGTCGTCATTTTCTAAGTGTAAATGAAAGTTGTGCTTTTTTGGCAAAAAACGAGGCTCTTAAAATGAGCGTAGAAATTCTTTTGAGAGATTTATTTTTGGCACAACATGCGATTACACCAAATTCCGCTATGACGGTTGATGTAAATACATAAACATATTAATTTTTTTTTTTAAATAATTGTTTAGCATAAATTTACTTTTCACTTATTTCTAGTTAAACTTTGTGACAAAAAATAAAAACTACTTACTTCAAGAACTATTGCCTACGGCAATTGATAAGTACGAAAAAATTTCAGGAAGAAGAAACGACTTTTTATGTGAGCTTAGAGCGCAATTTGGAGGTGGCCCGCCTAAACCAAAGCCGAGGAGTATATATCAGACTGATGTGATATAGGCTTTTTGAAATTATAAATTTATGTAATTTAAAATTAAAATTGAATCAAACTTATAAAACTTATAATGCTTAGCATTGTGAATATTTAGAAGCATACACGATTGGTATTATTATATAACCATAGTAATTAAAATAAAGTTATAATATATTACACTATCATATTTATATGCGTCATATAATTATTCAACCTCTGTGAAGTCCTTTTTTCTATTATCGCATCTATATCAAATACCAATTAAATGAAACTATGGTATGAACTTCTCATAAGTTTACATCATATTTAATATGTTTAAATTGAATTTGTCTATCAATTATGTTTTTTAAAATTGTTTGCTTACAATATGTTTTTGCATTTATTTTCAATATGTTTTTGCATTGTATAAAATTTTACAGTAAAAAATAAAAAGAAATAGAAAGGTATAGATTTGCAATAAAAAAAGTGAGAATTGTTTACTACTTAAATTGAGATATTTTTGGTTACGTACAATTTTTATTTGTAATAAATTAATTATTCTATTATTTGTTTTTAATAGGATAATCTCTAAAAATTAAAAAAGTTATATATTTTCTAAATAAAAATATTTGAATTACTATTATTCTTCAATTTATTACCACAAAAGATCATTTTTGATTCTTTCTGTTAGTGTAATCTAAATAAATAAATTAAATTTAGTAGTGTCTATGTATACTATAATTTCGAATTAATCTTTATCTCGGCTATATTCAAATTAAATTTTATTTATATTGTATTTTCTTTTATACCTCATAGTTAGTAACTATTTTAAAATAAGGTAAATACCTGCTATGGTGGTTTAAATTTAGTTCTATAATTGGAAGAATGTCGAAAAAAATGAATTTTAATCAAAATCAAATATAAATCGCAAAATAGAACATTTATTATGCTTAAAAAAAATATACAATACGAGTATATAGTTGCACTTTAATTAAGTAATACAATTGCTTTATCTCTTTCTATTACACATGCATATACAAAAATACAAATCCTTTTGCAAAAATATTAAAAATATACATACATAATTTAAATTTAAAATAAATTTGAAAAAAACTAATAATATTGACCATTTTTTGGTTTGCGTCCTGGTCTAACTTGGTGTAAATTTGGTATATATATCCCTTTAATTTTACTTGCTGCCATTTTTCTTTCATGGACTTTTCGATGTTTCGCCAAATGATCCGATCGAGCAAAACATTTTGGACAATAAATACATTTAAATGGTTTTATTCCAGAATGTGATCTTTTATGTCGAGCCAGTTCATCAGATCTTGAAAAACGCCACGTACAATTTGGCCAATTACATATGTATGGTTTATCGCCCAAATGTCGCCTTAAATGTGCTCTCAAATGAGCTGGTTTTGCATAAACTTTTTCACAAGACTCCCATGTGCAAGGAAATGTAATTTTTATTGAAATATCATGATCATTAAAATTGCTATCATTTTCTGAAGATATTTTTTCTTTAATTGTATTATTGTTAGTATAGTTTTCATTATTATTATTTTTTTCATTTTTATTTCTTTTTTCATTATTTAAATTAATTGAATCATTAGTTTGACGAAATTTACTCAAATTTTCAGAACTTTCCTTTAAAAAAAGATTACAAGAATCATTGCATAATGGAGTTTTTTCTGGTAATAAATTAACGAAATCAGGTAACTCGATGTAATTGTCTAGAAATTGATTTTCCCAATCAAAATCCAATGATAATAAGTTTTGTTCATTTAAGTAATTGTTTTCATATGCTGTTGTTATTTCAAAAGTATCAGTAATTGGTGTTGTTCGTGTATTAAAAGATGATGTTAGAGATGGCAAAGACGGTGACGTTGATGGTGATGATAATGATGCTACTTTTATTTCAAAATCATTTAAGTTTCCATTTTCAAATAAAATGTTCACTTCCGACGATGGATTATTAAAGTTGTATAAATTTTTATCAATATTATTACATGTTATATCACATGTATAAGATTTGAAGTTCTCTTGAATATCATCTTCTAATTCGGCAAACAATTGTTGAAATCCGTTTGTAAGAAAATCCATTAAAAATAAAATTTATAAAATTATAATGCATTTATTTAGTTACCGAACCGTAAGCTAAGATCAATAATTTACGAATGAATTGAATCAATTATAAATTTAATAAAATATCGTATAATTATCTGTTTTGAAAAAGATAAATTAGGGTTGAGTAGTATTTTAACAAAATTGATTTCTTCGAAAATTTTAATAAACACTTTAAATATATTATAATTTAAAAAACTCCTTGTATAACGGAAAATGGGTATATTACAGAAATACAGAAAAATAAAATTACTTTTAAGGCATTTTTGGCATTGATGAACAAGAATATCGTCAGAGATATAATATTTTATGCGATTTTTTTTTAAACCTGTATTATAAAACCTATTAAAGCTTTCAAGATGAAATAAATGTGTATAATAAAACAGAGTGAAATTTCTTAACCCGTTATTTACCGTATGTAAGACAAAAATATGATTTTTTTGAAAATGTTAAAATTTAATAGTGCACCATTTTGTTTTTGTTTGCTCAAGCAGCTCTATTTCTCATCTTCAATGTGGTATAGTATAAACAGTACATACATACTTCTCGTTCATTATTTGCATAATATATGTAAATATTTTAGGTTTACTAGAAGCTACTTTTAATAGAATCATATTTTAAATTTCAATATCTTGTTTATTGAGTTGATTGTACTTATATGTAAGTTAATTACGTTGTATTAAATAAGATTTCACACAATGAGAAAAAAGATTTCAATTATGATCCAGTTACCCTAACTATCGGAACTCATTTTAAAAACTTTGAATTAAAATTGTATTAAAACTATGATATTTTATTATAATTTGTTTATTATCACAAATATCTTTTGGGAATATTATGCTTTTAAGATTTTCAAATTTCTAATATTTAAATAGTGACCGTATATTAAAAATAAAACCATGCTTGCGTTTAAAAATGAATAAAAATTTATATGTACATATGTGTATGTATATGTACAACATATGTAATAATTATAAAATATAATATATTAAATTATCAAAAACTATGATATTTATTATTTGAGAGTAAAAAATATTTACTTATAAATTTATATATATTTTTTTATTGTTTTATCCTAAATGTTATTATGACAGGAAATTTTTCATCTTGAAATCATTATAACAGTTTATCTATTTGAAGCTGCAGTTTTCAATGTCATTTAGTTTGTGTGTATAGTCAAAAGATTTAGAAATATATATTAAAAAAAAAAAAAAACAGTAAAAAAATAAAAATTAAATAATATTTTGAAAACAGTTTTAATTTTGTCATTTAACTACATACATATATACATAATTATTATTAAAGAACAAAGCCAGATACAAAAAAAAATTTAATAATCAGAAAAAGCAACCACCGCATTTTATTTTAGATCATTGGCTATCTTTCCCAAGGGAGGCATTAGTTCCATCGGATTCATTTTTTTTCCGATTATTGTTACATTTTTTGTTTGTTTGTTTTTTTTTTTTTTTTTTTTTTGTAAATCAAAATCTTTAATATATTATTTTTGTTTATGAACTTTAATGTTGTCAAATAGCATTGTACCAGACTGTGTCAGGTTTGATAGCATCATTATGACGACTTTATAAAAAGTAATCATTGAATTCTTTCTCATTTTTTTTTTTTGTATATTTTTCGTAAAATATTGATTATATTGAACAAAAAAAAAAAAACCTCATGAGTTTCCTAGATGATAAACACAGATGTCTGTGTGTCAAACATTGTTATACAAACATGACGGTTTCCACAAAAAATTGTGTGATTTTATAAAAAGATATACATAAAACCGTTAGTAATAAGTTACAAAAATAATTTGAGTTTTTTTTTTTTTATCAATTTTAATAAAAATTTTTTTTTTTCTAAAAATTAATAACTTATAAAATACATGCATTTAATAGTCAACGATATTAATTTATGTATGTATGTTTGTTTCTATTTAAAAGGAAGAAAAAAGTTAAAATCAAAATTAAAATTAAAATAATTGGGCTCTTTATGAATTTAGAATAATCGAATGATTGATTAAAAATTTGTGAAATTATTATAGAATTTATCAATATAAAATTAATAATCTATCTGGAGGAAAAATTTAATTTTAACAGAACAACAGTTATAGTTATTTTCATTTCTATAGAAGAAAATCAGCTTTGATCCGCAATTTTCTAGAAAAAAATCGGCTTTGATAAAATGCGTATGTTGCACACGAAATATATGTATATCAGTAAGAATAAAATTATCTTTTACAAATTTCTTCTTCTTTTTAAAAAAAAAATTATTTGTGGAAAATATTCGGAAAAATTATTAATTTGATTTTGTAAAATTCTTTATCATAGAAACTTAAAAAAATTAAAATTTAATTTGAAAATTTCTTAATTCTTCAAATTAATTTTGAAATTAAGAAAAATATATTATAAATAAAATGTTGTCGACAAATTTCTCATATCACAATACCTATATTAAATAGACTCATTATTAAAAATCGGAATGATCTAGATTCTACTTTCTAGACTTCAATTTAGTATGTATATACATACATTTATTGCAAAAGAGAATCGAAACAAAATTTTTCTTTTATTAAGATTTTTGAAATTATCATATTTAGATTAGATCTATCAAAACACATGTCTTAAGGTTAGAATTGCAAATTTTTAGAATTGAATTTAAAAAAAAAACCTTTTTTTACATATTACTATCGAAAGTAAGCTTAAGTACAATTTAAGAGTAGTATATAACATTTTTATACAAAAATCTGCAATCACAATTTTTCACCACAACATTTTTCCTTTAAAATTGAATATTTCAAAAATAAACAAAAATTTAATCATAACATTAATTGTTTTGAAGAAAATTTGTTTGTTTATCACGAAAATTGCAATAGTACATATCCCATAGTAGTGCTGTATTATAATTTAAAATTTTAATAGCATAAAATTTAAATGTTATCATATTATATATATAAAAAAAAAAATATGTATAAAAATATATTTGTATTGCATGTGACGTAAAAATAAACTTAGTAATAGAAAAAGAATTTTAACTAATTTTTAATTACGAAATGAATAAACAAGAAATAATTTAAATACAAATAAATAAAATATTGGAGCTTGCTGAAAAAATAATTATCGTATTTTAGAAAATCAAATCACGTAATTGGTGATCACATGATTCAAGTAAATCATATAAAATAATTATTTTTATATTTTTAAATATTAAAGTGATAAAATTATTAATTTGTTTAAATAATTTATTAAACTCATTTCTAATTTTACAAAAATTATTAAGACAAACGAGAATTTGAATAATTTGAGTTTTAATTTAGAGTTTAATCTTAAGAAAATAAACAATTATATGATGATAAAGCTACAAAAACAAGTACGTGTAAAATTTGCAGTTGATTTTTAAGTTTTAAAGAAGTTTTAACGCAATTTTTGTTTTTATAAATGAAAATCATGTCATATAGAAAAATGTTGAATATTTTGATATTAAAAATGCAAAATTAAAGTAGCCTGTATAGTCTAAATATAAATATACTATGTCTAAATTAAAGGATTATCGATGATTCAGATGTTGCACTAAAATTTCTAAATTCTGCAGAAACTAAAACATTCACTTTTGTAGATTTGTAACATACTTGAGTAATTCTTCAATATTCAACATTTTTTTATTATGGTCTTCTCCTAATTTATAATATTTTTATAGTAGTTAGAAAAAAATTAAATGTTCTTTTAGAACTTTAAGCACACCAGTAATTTTTGACTATGCTGTTTTTGCAGATTTTGCAGCTTGAATTTATTGAATTTGCTTTTTGTTAAGACATAAGACATGATGTCATTCAAAATCCCTTATTCATTCAAAATCTCCAAATATCTAACAGCCGAATATTGATTTAATACTGCACAATAAATTGCTTGGATTTTTTCTTACTGTGAATAAATAAATTTTTAAATTTTCTTTGTTTTTAAAGTAAATACTCAATAAATTTCCTATTTAATATATTACGAAGAATATAAATAGGAAGTAGACATAAAATTAAATGATTTTACAAATTATTGTTTTTGTAAAAAATCTTTTTAACTATCCAATTGAGACTGAATATATCATAAGTTTCCATTTTCTAAATTATTTTTAAATTAGTATAAGCATTCCTGAATAATTTATTGAAATTTAAATTTTTTAGAAAATAATTTGATGTTCAACCTTAAAATAATTAAAATAGCATATTTTCAAAGTGGTTTATTTGCCCAAATTCATTTCGATTATATAGAATTACTTAAGACTTAAAAGAAAATTATTTTGTACCCTGCTCTTTTACTGCTACCAGAAGGACAGTCCAATTTTTATTTTTCAAAAGAACTGTTCTTTAGATGCGAAAAAACAAACAAATTTTATTTTTGATTTTATTCATTTCGAAACTATTTATTTACATTTTTTTTTATTTAAATCTTCTCTTAAGTTATATTATATATTTCTAATCTAACAACATTAAAAAAAATTCTTAAAATTAAAAATAAAATTTATTCTAAATTTATACTTGAAATGTGTTTCTCTGTACGTGTGTGTTGTGTTGATTTTACTTTTTATTCTCCCTTTTTTTAAATTTTTTTTTTATATTTTTAATGTTTTTTTTTTTAAATTTATTTTGAATTAATTCACGAAATTAAAAGCAATATTGATATAAGACAAAAAAAAATTGAAATTTTTTTTTAAAATTTATTAAAAAAGAAAATGAAATAAATGAAAACTTTTTTATTTTGTCTATTTTCCATTTTTAAATCACGTTTTCTTAATATTTACCATAATTTTTTTTTAATTTTATTTAAGCTGTGTGCCCAATTTGAATTAAAAATAACATTCTTTATTAATTGATATTTAAATGAATAAAAAAAGATGAAACTAATATTATTTAAGGACCAATTGTATCTTTAATGCTCTATACAAAATTAGAGATAAAATTTAATTATTTTACATACATAAAATAAAAAAGAAAATTTCACATTTTAAATTTTGCCTCATAAAATAAAAAAGAAAATTTCACATTTTAAATTTTGCCTAATTATTCAATTAAAAAAAAAAAATATAGTGGCTTTTACTGAATGATTTTGTATTTTAAAATTTCAAATTTAAATCACAAGATTTACATTTTTGTCTAGAGTGAAGAGGATACATTAAATTTGTTCATGTTTCAAAAAGCAAAACAGAAAAAACCAAAAATAAAGAAAAAGAATTTGTAATTTACTAGTTTTTACATTAAGGTAAGTGAAAGTGTTCTTCTTATAATTTATTTTTGTTTGGGCACACCATTTTGTATTTTATATTTATTTATATATATATATATTCAATTCATTGTAAATTTCCTTATCCTTTTTTCACTTTTTACATTTACATTTATCTATTTATTTTCATTTATATAAGATATATATATATATATATATATATATATATATATATATTATATCATATTTTTTTTATATAAGAATTTTGGTAAATGCTCCTTAATATATAACTTCGTAAACGGTAGCTTTTTTATCACCTGATCCAGTCACAATATATTTATCATCAGTTGATATATCACAACTGAGTACCGATGATGTTTCTTTTGACTAAAAATTAATATTTAAATAAAATAAATATTTTAAAAATACTGAAATAAAAAGGAAAAATTTAATATTCACCTGAAATATACTTGCACCATAAGGCGTTCTCCATGCATTTAATAAGTTATCTTTGCCTGTAGATACAAACCATTTTCCACAAGTTGCAAATCTCAATGATAAAACGCAACTTTCATGCAAATGTAATTGATATTTATCAGATTTTGTTGCGTGTAACACCTCTACATGGGAATTTTCCATTCCAACTGCTAACCAATCACCTAAAAATTGTATAAAAATTAGAATTTTAAGAAAATTGTACTATATAATATAATTTTAGATATATTAATTATAAAACCTGTTGGACAATATCCTAAAGAAAATATTTGTGAACTAAAATCATGCTGTTGTAATTGGCGACCTTCTCTTAAATCCCATGATCTAACCGTATTATCTAAACCACCAGTCCATAAACGGCAACCATCTGGACTAATATCAATACAGGATGCACCATCTGTATGCCCTTGAAATTGCCTTACCAACGTTTGATTGTGTAAATCCCAAACAGCTATATTGCCATCACTACAACATGAAAAGCATACTTTTGAATCTGGACTTATTGCTAGAGCATAGCAAGCTGGAGCTGATGATGTTAATTCAGCCTTAATTCTTGGTGTTGGGCTAGCTAAATCCCATATAGATAAATTAGATGCTTCACCACCAACAATCAACGTTCGACCATCAGGTAAAAGTTTGACAGAACGTATATAATTATCTCGTTGCTAAAATGTTAAAAAAATTTATTTAAATTGAAAAAGAATTTTTAATTTTCATAAACTTACTAGACAATCTAATTGGCTAACTGGATTTTTATTTCCAGGTTGTGATATATCCCAAACTTTAACACATCCCTTTCCACCAGTATACACATACTTAGTTGGATTTGAAATTGTAACAGCACAAACAACTTCACCATGTGACAGAGTATTAATTTGTCTTGCATGACGCGGTATACCAACACCAACTAATGCATCTGGAGGGAATGGAACTGGTTGAAGTGTACCTTCTCCATTCATATGAAATGAATATGCTCTAAAAAATTTAAATTAAAAAAAAATGAATTGGTGTGGAAATTACAAAAAAAAAAAATTTATCTTACGGTTTTCCTCCGGTTATACCAGCAGCAGCTACTGCCGCTGCTGTCATAGGTAAACCATTTGCATGAGCATATGGCATTTGTGGTCTACCATACGCTGGATCTGGTGGCGGTCTTTGATATGGATCCGGCGGTCTTTGATAAGGTGATCCTGGATAACCAGCTGCTGGCATTTGGGGCATTACTGGCTTTGGTGTATTAGGTGTTGAAACTGCATTTGGCGTAGGAGTACGGGCTTTTGAACCAGGAGTACCCGGTTTATCGAGCTAAAAATATTTTATTACGGCTCATTTAAAATAAAACTTGCATTGTTTAAACATAATAATCAACAAAAAAAAACTCTTACATCTTTTGTCTTAAGGCTAGGTGTAGAGCGTGATGAACTAGATCCAGATCTTGAAGGAGGTCTTTCACTAGGTGGTTTTGAACTTCCACCAGCTTTATCACTTCGATCACCATTTAAACCAATTCCATCACGATCTCGTGATTCTAACGATGCATGATCTCCATTTGGTCGCGGAGATGGTGATTCCTAAAAAAAAATGTATATTCTATGATTATCCATATAATCACTTTCTTACTTAAAACTAAAATTCCTTATCCATTTATAGTTAAGATTTTCGTTAATAACAGTTCATCTTCTTGATTTTTCGCTACCTTTTCATTTTTTAGTTTATTTCAAAGCATTTTTTTTTTCTTTACCAAATTTTCCAACTTACGAATATTTTTCATTACCTTTGTCATCAATTATTTGTGAATTTTGAATTCTACTTGCATATTCTAAATGATTTAATATATTTTTAAAAGATTTTAAAAAAAAAATATGCCTATAAATTTAATTCTATTCGTCCGTTCATGCGTTCGTTTTTGTTACAGATAAAACCCTTACGCAAGTAAATAGATTTTTATTTAAGTATAAATTATTTCCCTTAATCTTCGCCTATCTCCCTTAAGAGCCGCACACGAAACTTAACAATTTTCAATAGTTTATTATGCTGAAATCATTAGTAATTTTTTAATCCCGCAAACCCAAAAAGTTTGCGACTTACCTTTTATATCTGAAAATCTTAAGATTATTACCTATCTCCTTTCATTTTCATTTTTCTCATATCAAAAGAAATTTCAATTTTTATTTTTCAAGTTAGAAGGTAACAGAAAATACTTTCATATTGAGCACTAAGACTAGGTACATGAATTCTTTACTAGTGTAAACTATCTGTCAAATTTAACTGTTATACTAATTTATACAACATTTTTAATATTATTTTTTAATAACAATGCTAGATAAATATTGATTGTAAATGCCCAAATATGTTTCTTTGAATTTATTTTTAAATTTTGATTGAGTCAAAACGCAAAACTGTGGTTAAGCAGTAATAAATGTCAAATTTAGACACCTCTTATATACTAGAATTTAAAAATGGTTTCGTTTTAAACGCTATTCATTAGAGACACTTACTTTCCTCTCTCTTTTTTAAGCTTACATGTAACACCACATCTTTTGGTTCTTTTTTTTTTTTTGTTTTTTTTGCTTCAAATTTTTAAACTCAACTCACCATTTCATTAGCAACATCAACAACCACTTCTTGATCACTTTTACTGCCATCTATTTCCTGTAATTTTGAAAAAAGAATGCAAGAAAAAGAAAAAAAAAGAATACAAATTGTTTTAATTCAAAAATTTTCCTTTTTCAAATTTTGACAAAAATAACAAATAAAAATGTAAAAAAGAAAAAAAAAACAAAATATAAAAATAATTTTTAATTCGAATGATTTTGACTTTTTTTTTTTTTTGAGTAATATTGGTGAGTTGAGTTTTAAACCATTTTCAGCGTATTTTTTATGAATGTTTAAATGTTAAAATTCGTAATAATAATAATAGTGAAAAAAAATAATTTAGTACATATTTTAATTGATATATAAAATATTTTATTATATAAAATGTTCCCATCATATTGTATATAAAAAATTATTTATTACAATTGATTATCCTAGAACTTACGTGTGCCAATTTTTCTTCTTTTCTTCTTTTTATATCACCTTCTATATCTAAGGGAGATCTACTGGTTCGATATTTTTCTCGTTCAGCTGGTGAAACAGAATTTCTCTATACAAAAATAAATAAATATATTTTTTGTATTAATAAAATTTATTGAAATAGTAAAAAATAATAATAATAAAAATTTGTGGTAGATTTTATATTTAATTAAAGATATAAAAATATTTAAACTATACATTTTAAATAATTATTATATTAAATATAATATAATTACTTGAATTTCTTCAGCTAAAGCAGCACCTAATGATGGTTTTAAATCTTCACGATGTATATCTTGAGGTCCTTTTAATAAACCTGGCCCATGTGGCATACCGAATGGTCCTAAAGAACCGCCAAGTGCACTAAGACCAGGAATAGCTTGTGGTGGACCACCGGGTATCTGTTGAGCATGTATTTGTTGCTGAAAATTAAAAAAATTTTTTTTTTTTGGTATACAATAAAAATATTAATTTAGAATTCGAATAGAATAATTATAAAAATACAATTTGGGATTATTTTTTTTTTTATTTTGCTTGCAAACATCGTCTTTATTTATTAAAAAACAAGCACATACATATATACACATATATAGAGGACATTTAAAAAAAAAAAAATTATAACATTTAAAGCAAAAAAAAATTTTCGATAAACTAATTTTATTATTTTATACAAAAATTAAAATTGTGATTTTAAAGAGAGATGGAACATAGAGACATGCATTTGAAGCAAAAAAAAAACAAAATGGAGTAATACGAGTATGGTTTATAATGAAAGGTTTTTTCTTAAAAATTTAAGAACAAGAATATTTTTAAATAAATCAAAATGAAAACATTTAGTGAAATTAAAAAGACACTATGGAATGAATGAATTTAAAAATAAAATAAAGAAAATAGGTATGCAATGAAAAAAAAAATGATTTTCTATAATAATAAAAACAAAAAAGAGATTGCAAGAACAATGGAAATTTTTAGCAACCGTATATTGGCAACTGTTAGAAAAGTACTGTTTTCGTACTAAAATTTTAACAGAATTGCGAACTTCTGTGTTATAAAGAAATTCAAATGAGAACGGTGTTGAACGAGCAGTGATAGCATCAGTTTCGTTATTTCGTGCACGATTTTCGTTAGACTATGTCAGAGGTAAGGGGGACCTATTTACATTTGGAGACTATATTCAAAATAACAGTAACAAAGAGGGCTGCATTTTGTATTTCAATTTTTATTTAAATTATTATTCATATTAATAGCTATTTAAAGCCATATTAAAATAATAAATTTTATAAAATTAAAATACTATTGCATACTTTTAGGTCAAAAACTATTGCATATTTTTAGGTCACATTTTTAGGCCAATGGGGAATTGGAAGCGTTAATATTAATGGTCGACTTTGACGATTAATTAATGAATTAAGATAAGGAATATTTTTTGATAACAAGACATTAATTTATCGTTTGAGATTGAGGTACAAACGGTATGAAATTCAATTAATTGAAATTGTAACAAAAACTTTGTGTAATTTGCTAAAAATATTTACATTAAGTAATACCATCATCTTGGTTCAGTACTATTTTGAAAATTTCAAAATTTTAATAGAATAGTTGACAAGACAGTTTAAAATCGATTATAAGATTTTTCCTCGGACCGATTGAAAAATAGTCAATATGGTTAATACATAAAAATTAATAAATTTATTCTAATAAATGGAACTTGAATCAACAGAACTATAAACTAAAAGCTTGATCGTGTATCTCGTTTTTTTTACTCACTTTTGATTTACTTTCAAATCAGAATTTTCAGTATTTTGTAATAGATACGAGTGTCTCACTTGTCTAATAAGATTACTCATTTTTTCAATTGGATGTTTGCACTTTTTCTTAAATTATTGACTGAACGTCTCACTTTCAAAAAAACAAAGTGAATAAATTTGGTATGCATTTTAGAAAAAAACCATATACGCAATACCAAATAATTCTCCTCACTTGAAAACTACATTATACAAATATAAGATAGTTACTCACTTTCTTCTCACTTTCTGAGTAAAATAGCGAAATAGACGATCAGGCTCTAAGGTACACTAATTAAGTATACAAATATCAGAAAGTATAACCATTTAAGTGGGAACATGAACATTTTAGGAAAAAATTTCATAAATTAAACAAACATTAAAAAAAAAAAATTATAATGGAAGGAACAGAAACTTCTCTAATGAATTTTTCGAAATGATAAATGAAATAATGATTTTTCATTTTTAATTATAAATTATTAATAATTCAATATTTTATAAGATTAGATTGACAAATACAAATATTTATATTTTAAAAAAAATTAAATTGAGTTTTGATTTTTATAAGCGCCAATTTTATTTTTAATTTTTTTATTAATTTCTTTTTTTCGTGTGATTAATTTGAAATTTTAAGCTAATTCTTTTTTTTTTATTTAAACATAAACTTAAAAGCATCTTATATGATAAATTTAATTTTGAAAATAAAATTTTTCGTACTTTACTTATAACTTACTATAAGTTGCTGAATTCCCTGTTGTTGATGCTGCTGCATAATTTTTAAAATTTATTGATAGGAATATACGAATATTAATAAAAATAAAAGTATATTATAATAATAAATATATTATAATGTATATATGTATATATATATATAATAATAAATTTAGAAAATAATTTTAATTAAAATATAATATTAATTAATATGCAAATATAAATGTATGAAGAAATGCAAAATTATATTTATTTTCAAATTTAGTTTATTAAAAATTTTCAAATAAATTAAAAAAAAAATTAGAATATAGCGAAAAGGAGTAGCCCAGAATTTTTACATGAAAATAAATTCAAGTTATTATATAAGATGATAAATTGCTTTATTTATTTCGAAAAATTGTGAGTGTTAATTTTTTTTTTCTTATAATTATACTAATTTCAAATATAATAAGTACAATTAATACCCTATTTACACTACAGGAGAATAATATGGTTACATGATCACGGCAAACAAATTGACAAATATTAAATATGAAATTAATGTTTTTGAAGCAAATTTAAGTTGACAATAATTCTAATGTATTACGACGCGTAATGATTCAAAAATAAAAATATTGGAAACTAAACGGTAAGAAAAAATGTGGGTAAATTTCAACTCTAATTTCAAATAATTTCAGTTTTCGAAATGCAGAATATTATTTTAATTGAAAATTAGAAAAAAACGAAAAAAAAAATAAAGTTCACCGTGTCAACTCTGTGATACCCGTACGAATTTGTATTTTCAATAGATTTTCTAAGATATGGCCAAACTACTATTGAAGCTTTATTTATTGAAGAAGAGCCAAACAATTTCAACGATTTTTATCAAACACATCGGCCCTACTTATATATTTACTTGTACGAAATTTTAATATCTGCACAGCTTTTATAGTTTCTAATATAAGAGTCAAATAAAATTTGAAGTTGTATGGCAGCTACCCGAACCAGCACCCGATCATTTAAATATAGGATTCTGGCATTTACTATAATAAATCATTTTTGAAAATTTGGTGAACTTAGCTCAATTAGTTTTTAAGTTATCGTTAGGACGGGTAGACGGACAGACAGACGGACAGACAAAGCAGAATTCGACGCTGATCAAAAACGTACACTTGAGTCTAAATTTCAGACCATTATTTCTTAGCGTTACAAACGGTAAAGCAAATTTCGAACACCCTTCGAACATAACCTTGTACGGGTATAAAAATAGAACAATTCCTATTATCCAAAATTTTTATACTAATTATAATTACAATATCTTATGTTCTTCAATTATTTAATAATTATTTTTGATATTCTTAATTTAATAAAATTATACATAAATTATTTTATCACATCTATAATTTGACAGTTCCTATTTCTCTCATTTCAAATTAAATTTTCTCAATTTCTTGTATGGGTTTTTTTTTTTTTGAGTAGATGAGATGAGATTGAAATGAGAACAATTTTATTAAAATTAATTATCCCGGAAATGAAATAAAAATTATAATTTTAATTTAAATTATTTTCAATTTATAATTATATATATATATAATATATTTAATATTTTTTTTAAATAAATTCTAATCTTAGTTATATTAATTTTCTTTGTGTATATTGGCTTTCAATTTAATATTATTTATTTATTTTTTAAATTGTATTAAAAAAAAAATAGACATAAATTTATCTATAATTTATTATTAAAAATTTAATAATTAATTAATTAAAACTTACTCCAATAATAGCATTTAATTCAGGCATTGTAACTTGTTTAGCACGTTCAACTGCTTGTAATACTTGTTGTTGGTGCTCAGCTGCCAAAAAAGGTAACAATTGACTTATTAAAGCATTCAAACGTTTCGCTATTTCTGTCTGAAAATATTCGAAAAAAAAGAGGAATAAAATTAATTACCGTGATGCCTAAAAATATTTTTCGTACACAAATATAAGATTTTTATTATCAATTTTAAATAATTTTAATTATTTAGGTTGAAAAATATTATATATAAGAATTTTTATAAAATATTTTAATAACCATCTTTTATTTAATAAAGTGAATAAATTATAGTTTTTCTTTTCAATTTATTTTGAATTATTTGCATGCCTTTAAATTTTTAATTGAAAATTTTTGTCATATTTTATATTTTTATTCATATCGAGCCCCATATAATATTTATTATTATTATTAATATCTTAAAATAATCCTAGATCTTAACAAATTATAAATTAAATAGAAGTTTTTCATATATACCAAATTAATAATATAGAAATTTTTATAATAATTATAATAAAATGTAGGTCATATATAAATTTTCTAAATCAAAAAATTCTTATAGCAGAATCATTTTTATAAATACATAAACTATATTTGTTAGGTTTGGTTAGTCATTCTTATAATTTTGTTAAAATAATAGAAGAACATATTTCTATACTTTTAAAATTTCTAAAAAAAAAATTCTCATATGCGTTTATTTAATTGTTATTAGCATAAAATCTTATTTTAATAATTAATAATTTGTTGCGTGTACATGCTTTCCTTCCATTTGCATTTTAAAATTATTCTAGGAGGCGCGATACTATATAGAATTTTATAAAGATTACCTATGTGAAAAAAATTATTATATTTTAAATATATAAAAGAATTATAATTTGAGATTAATTTTAAAATTTTACTTAAAAATTGAATTGAAAAATGGAATTAACGTAATTTTCCTATATATACTCGTATATACAAATAGCTACATACATATTAATAAGAAATTAAATTTTCATTTAAAAAAAAAAAAATTTTTTTTTTAATATTAAAATATTAATATTAAAATTTTCAAATATTTTCATTTTAAATTTTAATAAGTATAGCTATATACCTACTATTATTGTATAATAATACAAAATATAAATAGAATTTTTATATATAATATTCATTTCCTATCTGATAATTCAACAATTAAACATACCCTGTTAAAAATAAATATAAAATTATAAATCGTATATGTACAAGTATGTAGGTATGTATACGAATCAAGTGGAACAAATATAAATTGTTGGCTTATAGAACAGAATTATTTCAAGTTCAATTTTATGTAAACTTGGCTTTTCTTTTCGCATTCATGTGATTTAACATGTAGTATTATTTAAAACGTTGCTTTCACCAGACTTGCATAATTTGAAAATTTAAAAATTCCTAATGAAAATAATTCATAATTTTCTTAACAAAAATAATTAAAATTTTGGGCTTAAATTTTTATGCATAAGCTGAAAAGAATGAAATATGTATATAGCCTTAAAACCAGTATATATCTATATATAAGAGTGACAAATTTAAAAATCATAAAATTTAAAATCGTTCTCCTCAAAAATTTTCAAAATTTAACTTAGGACACAGTTCTGTCTAAAGTGGCACTATATCTGTGCATACTATGTATACAAATATTAATCGCCATCATTTATTTAAGTATATTCGAATATGAGAGAATAAAGCAACTATGAAATTAGTGTGTGTAATAATTTCCTTTGATATAAAATGCAATTTTGCAAATTTCTTTTTTCTCCTTTTCTATATTGCTTAATTTTCTGATCGAAATAATTGAAATTAGTACAGATATTTTATAGAGCCAGAATATTTTAAAAAATTATTATAAAAATTTAAATAATAACAAAAAATTGTTATATAAATATTATTATTAAGAAATTTCATTATACACACACATATGTATATATCGGAAGATTCTATGGGTACACGCATATTATAATCTAAAAATAGTTTATGTATATGCAATAATAACGTTGCAAATGCAAAATAATATTAAAACGCATCGTTCTCATCTGGAAAATAACATTAATTCATGACTGATTATTAACGACAAAATTCTATTTATTTTGTATATATAGAATGGGAAACTATTTACTATACTTATATCTATACATATTTACATAGATATACGCATACTTGCATATATTTTACTTAATATATACTTATGTTATGAGTGAGTTTGAACTATCTTCAATATTATTATACTATGCGTTCCAATATTATATTTGTTCATATATACATGTATATATAAGATAAAATGTATTTCAATATTATTTGTATATATATACATACATATGTTTATATATATATATATATGTTGATTTTCATGGAATTTACAATTTCAATTTTGGTTTTCAATATAAATTATATATTTTTTTTTTGTAAATTCTAATAATATGTACATATTATGTAGAATTTTTTAGCAATAATCTTATATTTATATGTATATATATATATATATTCTATATTTTAAAGTGTATAACTGTATATATACATATAAGTAATATATACTTATATAATGTACCTGCACCCATAAAATTTTCAAATCAAATAATTATTGTACTTTATAATATTATGCAAGTTCAAATAAAAATTTGTACTTGTACATTATTTAGTATTATTTGTATATATACATATATATATAATCTATAAATTTGCTACATGTATTTATATTTGGACTATGGTCATTCGATAAAATTCAACTATGATCACTTATGATATAGCAGAAAAAGAAGCAAAAACAAAAAGAAAGAGAATAGAAAAGAAAAATAACAAACAGGATACACAACAAAAGATGGAATATTTTCTATAAATGAACATGAAAATTCAAAAATATTCAGATTCAGAAATATGTGAAGTTCTATATACATATGTAAAATATAAATCAAATATAACAGATTTATATATGTATATGTAAACATACAAATATATTGTATACTATACATATTGCTAGTTGAAAATTGTGTAGTTGAAAATAGGAAAAAAAAATGAACAAATGGGATTAAGTACTATTATTTTATATATAGAAAAAGAAGCTACACGTATGTACGTATAAGGTCTTAAAATAAATTTTTGAAAATTTGAAGCCTGCTACTCTTAAAAACAATTTTTTTTTTTATACATATCCTTTAGGTATATACATACATACACAAATATAATTTTAGGCATTTATTTGCATGAAACCTATATGAGCAAAATTGAATTTTTGGATATTCAAGTTATATGTAAATAATATTGGGTGCGGACGTATGTTCATATCAATGTATACGAGTATAACCAATAGACTAGACACAGAATATATTTTTAAAACTTACAATCACTTTTTAAAACATTTTTATTTTAGTTTTTGTTTTTTTTTATAGCTTGTACAACAATTCAATACAATAGCAACACCATAAAGAAAAATAAAAGAAACAATATTTATATTTGCATAAATATAGGCGGATTAAAAATATATTGTACTTAAAATGTATCTTGTTTAATGTTAGAATTTTAACTGTTTTAATTTCGTTCGTAGTGTTAAATTAAAAATACAAAAAAAAGTTGATAGGTACAACTAGTATAATTAGTATAGATACCGTTGTTTTTTACTATATTTAGAATAAAATTTGTAACAGTAAAAAATTGTAATTTCAGAATTTTTATGAGTATTGGGTGATTTTTCTTAATTGTGTAGTGGAAAATATAGTGTCTAGTCAGTGTGTTACTTCTGGAGATCTTAAAAAATAAAAAAAAAAAAAACGAATAATCTTGCCACACCGAATTGGCAACACAAAATCATCTTTAGATTGCCGTGCGTGATTCTGTCGCACGGCAAAATCCTTGTTTGTCATGTTTTCTTAAACTCATTTTTAAAATTAGCTTAATAGAATTCATTTTTGACTTCGGAAGAATTCGGAAATTTTTTAATAATTTCTTACGCTTGTTCTTGCAGTTCTTACAGTGAAATATTGTCAATATGTCGAGGTAAATATATTCGAATAGTTTGGTAACACTATAGATTAAAATTTTTTTTTATTGAATTTGTGCTTTCATTATAGTTTTTCCGTTTTTCTAAAATTGTCTTTAATTGTATTTATTTTTTCTGATATTTTTGTTATTGTTGTAATTATTGATCCTTATGCACATATCGTTTACATACATATATGCGAATATGTATATTGCATACCTTTTGAAAACAGAAATATAATTTGGATTCTTTAATGTATACAGAATACGTTATATATACCTTCTTTAGATCATGCTGTATACATGTATATGTATTTACAGGCTAACTAACTATGACTGAATGAAATTTTTGGTTGACTAGTTGGTTGGTTTATAAATGAATCACAGATGCAATACAAAAATTTTTTTTAAAATATGTAGGTAACTATACATATACATATATATATACACAATGTATATTACATTAAGATGAGAGAAATAATATTCTGAAATATATACTAACGATATATATATATATATATTATATATATATCGTTAGTATATACACATATATATATATATATATATATGTATGTGCGTATAAATTTATAACTAGATGTGCAACAAAAACCACGCAACAACAAAATTTTCTTTTGTATTACTGTTGTATTTTTAAAAAGTTTTCACAACTTATTCCACAGTTCAGGTTGTAAAATTTATAGAAATGTACGTATATATCGTATGTGTAATATACGTTGATTCATATATGGGTGTACGAGAATATTAACGAAATTGAAATGCATTATAATGCATATATTTAGGTGCACGTATATATAAATTATTTAGGGATAGTTATCACATATCCTTAGGATGCAAGTTTTCTATATTACTCGCACAATGATTATATATGAATATGTAAGTTGCAGTGATGATTGCCGAAGAAATGTATCTGTATTAAATTTAGGCATATGAAAGATAGAAAGCGTAGGTGTTTGTAAATACTAATGTGGGTTTTTTTTTTAGTCAATTGTTAGACATAAAATTTGTTTTACATGAGCCTTCAATGAATTTTTTGTACTCAGTTATTGTAATTCTTTTATGGAATTGTAGGATCCATGTAGGTTTTTGCAGTAATGTTTTTTTTTATTTTCTTTATAGATAATCTTGCGTTATTGTTGCTGACGATGATTACAATAATAATAATACTGATGATGATGATGGCGGTGATTATGATTACTGTTTTGCTTTATGTATATGTAGTACTTTTGTACAAACCTATTTAAATGTTATCAATTTTTTGATATCAGCCATTATTTGTTTGTGTTTTCTTTTTCAAAAATGCTGATGGTTTATTAATGTTTTTTTTTATGTGTAGCCTAAGTTAGTTGCGTTCGTTTTGGTTTTATTTTCCGACGATAATTTTATTAATATTTTTTTTCTGTTTTTGAAATTATTTATGCTTTTAGTTTCTTTTAGTTATCTACAGTCTCAATAGCATAGCTTCTGCGTTCAATTTATACCAAAAAGAAGTTGAGGAAGAGTTGAAACGCCAATCTTATTGAAAATATCCATAAAATTCGAAAACATCTGCTTCACATTTGGGAGTATATAGCCGAATATTTGTCGCTGATTAAAATTCATATATCAGAAACCTTTATCTCAGTTAAGTGATCTGTCTGAAGAGATCTCGTGCAGAAAATTGACAGAATACACAAAAGTTTAATAAACAAAGAAGGTCTGTAATTTTACCAGCTTTTGTAGGCATTTCACCAGCAAAGTGCGGTTTAACATAGCATAAATGAAGTACTATATTTGCCGGAATACAATAGAAGGAATATATAACTATAGTAAGATATCGGATATTCCTGCCTGTAAACCTATTGAAAAGTAGGACTTCAACTTTACCAACGGTGAAACCAATATTAATTTCTAACTTCTGTTTTTGATTTATACAGTCGAATTACAGCTCGAATTGAATATATTTTGAGGTTTTCTGTGGCCATTTGATTTTGTTCGGAGAGCATAATCGTTTTTTTGTATACACCGAAAAGGAACTTAACATTTCTTATAACAACACTTTGAAAATTATAATGTTGTTAAATGCATTACCATATAAGAGTTGTTTTGTACTGTAGAAAACAAAATAAAAGAATTTTTGTTCGGATTAGTTGAATTCATATAGAAATTGTACAGAGCTACGTACACATACATCTGCCATATACATTTATATGTAACCAAATATACGTAAGGGAAATAGCTACACCTACTATGAATTTACCTATTTTATTGTAGGTTTATTTTACTATATAAGTTTTTTTGATGTATAAACAAGTCTACAATGCATAATGTTAAACCTTCTCTTACCGGAGCCTGTTTAAGATCATTATGTTTAAAGTGTGCTCTTATCCGTAAGTAAACTCTTATATTAAAATAAAACTCGATAGGCATAGGCTTCTGTGTTTTTGAAATTTTTGAAAGTGCATAAGCCTTTCGACTCTGTCCAGAAGAGGTTAAGACGATAGACGATCTCAGTTTTGGAAGGCATGCATATTTCAGAATTTCCACATATCTCATATTAAAAATATTATGTTATTCGTGTATTAAATAATAAATTCTTATTTAAATTTCTATAATTAAGTTTCGATCATAAATTTTAGTACTCATTCTATATAACACTAATAATGTATGAACATTTTAAAATAGCGAACGCAAATTAGAAATTTTCAATACTAATAAAAAAGACTTTTCCATTTTCTTTTTGTTTTTATATAAAAAGGAATTCAATCGATAGATTTTTTAAAAAATAAAATAATAGCTGGAATATTGTTAAATTTTATATGCGGTCGTTTGATCTATTTGAATGAAACTTTACATTAAATTAGAATTACATATATACTTATAATGAAAATAACCCTACACACTCGGAATAAATATGAGTATGAAGGGTGAGAAAGTAAGGGGAAAATATATAAATTACAATATTAAGATAAACAATTTAATTAATGTCTGAACTAAGTATTAACAAAATTGTATGATTATCAAGGCATACGATGAAAAAAAGAAAAAAAAAAGGGTGCGGGAAAATTATGAAAATTTATAATATTCATGAAAATAGAAAAAAAAAGCGGTGGGCGTAATAAACGTGTTAAAATTAGAACAAATTATGTATAAGAGGAAAGGAAAGGTAAAATAAAAATTAATATTTAATTTCTCGAATAATTATCGTATATAGTAATTTTTATATTTCAATGCCATGGTAAATTGAAATTTCTTTATTAATATTAAAATAATTCAATTGAATGATTAATTTGAAAGCATACGTAGAAATTAAGAAGAAAATTGTGCTTTTCCACTACAAATGTATTTGAAATTTATGCAATTGTTTTAAGAGAGATGTTGTATCAAAACTATTGTACTCTGGTTGCCGTCCAACAATCGAAATGTTCGAGTAAAAGTGAAAAATGAATATTTTTTTTTTTATTATTCTCATATGTAACTGAAACATCAATTTTTAATCAGAAGTTATAGTTATATAACATTTAATGCTCCATCACTTTCAACAAAAGAGAAATTTAGAGGAGTATTTACGCACATTTATTGCCATATAATCGAATTTTAATGCAAAATAGAATTTATTATAAAAAAAATCTGATGTGGTTAGGAAATGATCACCGACCACAAGGCGTATTGTGCAGTTTGGCGAAAATATTTCTTAAAATCTTAAAGACGCTTTTAGTTAACATACTTGGAAAAATGTAAACTTGTTTCTTATTGAAGATTAAGTAAAGTTTGTCTTTTAGTTCCCGTATAAAATTTCAAGTTAAAATGTTAAATTTTTCTTAAAAATGACCAAAAATGTGAAATTGTCGTTTGCAGCCGAACTAGAGATACATGCGTGCACACACAGACTAATAGACTGACATCTTTCTAAAAGTTCTTTATTTATACTTCTTTACCATGCCGAAGTCCCTTTCCACCGAACATTCGATATGACCCCATACAATCTACACAAGAGACTAGACTCTTTTAATTTTTAATTAAATTTGATAACAAAAAACAAGTAAGGTTTTTCAAAGAGAATGCAAAGCATTTAGCCTAACAATTCTGATATTTTTTCTGACTTACCTGTTTATGCATTTCTACATTAAGGCCATATGACATTTCATAATACTGAAAAATACAAAAAAAAAAAAAGAATAAAAATTATTAAATTGTTTATTGAAAGAAAATATTTTTTAATTTTTAAACTGATCATATTTTTGTTCAAATCCAGATTAATCTAGAAGAATAACTTTTTCTAAATTCTCTAAATTTTTTTACAATTGCAATTATTTTTCATAATTGCACTTTTGAGATTCGCAAATTGTTATTGGAATTATTTTATTAATTAAATTAATTAAATGCACTCTTAGTTTTATAATATTTTAAGAAAAAAAATTCACATAAAAAATTATTTACACAACTAACTCTATTAAATTCTAAATTATCACGTTCAAATTGATATTTTTATTTATTGTTGTTTAATAAAAAAAAAATAACTGTAAATATTTTGATTTTTTTATGTAAATCCTTAACAAAAAACTTACATAATCTTGAAATAATTCTCCAATAATTTTTCCAATAAAAATTTCTAAATATAAATTTGTGAATGACATATTAAAACGAGAAAAAATAGAGTTGACCATGTCAATGCTACCCGTACGAATTTGTTATACTATGTGCGAATAAATATGCATAATAGCTAACTATGGGATTGACTATGAGTTTGAGTTGCCATATTACTATATTAATTTATGCAAAATTTCAGTACTGTGTTTTCAATATGGCTAGTTGTATGGTAGCTATACGAGAAAAAGCTTTCATAGTTTCTAAGATATAGTCAAATAAATTTTGAAGTTGCATGGCAGCTACCGGAACCAGTACCCCAATCATATTCAATTTAAATAGGGTTCTGGCATTTACTATAATAAACAATTTGTGAAAATTTGGTGAACTTAGCTCAATTAGTTTTTGAGTTATCGTTGGGACGGACGGACGGACACAAAAAGCTAAATCGACTCAGAATTCGATGATGATCAAAAACATACACTTGAGTTCCGCTATTTCTTAGCGTTACAAACAGCAACGCTAATTTGATATACCCTTCGAATATACGTTCGTACGGTTTGATTTGAGATAAACTAGATTCATTTAAGGTAACGTATACGAAAAAAATATTAACAGGGTAATTTCATCCGTCATTGTCAACGCAACCACATATGTTCTATTGTATAGTCCGTTCCACTTTTTTTCTGTATTATCTTTGGTCCTGGAAATAAAAAAATTTTACTGGAGATGTTTCATATGGAATTGGATAACTAGTATCGGACAATACGTAAGGCAATCTTAGTAAAAAAAAAAAAAGTATGCAATAGCATGAACTCGATTCTTATCCATTCCCACCAAATTTAAGTGTATAAAAACAGTTTTGCATATAGCAATCTGAAACAATCCTCTAGTGAATATTTAATTTCCACCCAAGCAAATCATCCAATCCATTCCTAATGATTGAAATCTGCTTGAACCCTTTCGATTTCAGCCTGATGGCATTCACTTCGCCTATATTCTCACTATAATATTCAAATGAATGTTATTTTAGTGCAAATTCAAATTTATAAATCAAATTCAATTTGATCAAACCAGGATAGCAGCTGTTGTGCTTGTAAATGCAGAATTATTTGTTACTATAGGAAGTTAATTTAAATATAGTATGCATATTATGAGACACATACATGTTTAAGCAGATATTCATACACAATCCGAACAATATATTCATATACAATCAATTATGTATGTATATATATTTATATGCATGTAATATGCCACATGGAAATTCCATTCTTTTTATATACAAATTATTTGTTTAAAAAAAAGCATGGTTATTAAAATTCAACAAAAATTACTTCAATTTATTTAATTCCATTATATACATTCTTTTATATACATACTCGTACATGCTTATACATACTTATACATATTTTTTTTATATGTTTATTATATCCGCTAAAATGATAGATTATAATGTAAAAATAAATATGTTATAATTGCTAGTAAATCTACCATGGAATTTTATATAAAAATCTTTATAATCTAATAAAATTTATTGACGTTATTTTGTGGTTTCATATATACAACTAGTATACAAGTATAACAGTTATGTATGTATAATAATTAGAGATATATGTATATCAAAATAAACAAGTGAAAAAAAAATAGTCAATATAAATTTATATTTTATTATTATTTACAAAATATAATAAACACCACTACATCGATACGAGTATAAAAATTTTTTGTTGAAAAATGTGTGTATGTGTGTATATAAATTATAAAACATGTTATAATCAAATTGGAACAATAATCCTAACACCCTATTATAAATTTATTTTAATTTCTTTTTCATTGACCGTTTTATAAATTTTTTTCTTTTTATTATTGAAATATTTTTAATATGCACAACCAACCTTATAATTTAATTGAAAAATAATATTTTATTTTTTGTTTTTATTGTTTTGCTACTTTTTTTATCCACCCACTCCTTTTTTATTTACAATGTACTTTGCATATGAATGTTGTATTAAATGTACAAGTACGTATGTGTGTATGTATTTATAACATATCCTTTTACACCTGTAATTTCATTTTTATTTTCACATAGTATTTATTCTATGAAAAAAACAAAAACAAAAAAAAATTTGAATATAGTTATTTTTTTTCTCTCATTTATTTGTTGTTATTTTTTTTTAACTATTAAACCCGATAACCTCTATAATAAAACAATGTACTTCCGACCACAGATATTGACGTTACTTTATTATTTTACTTTATTCTTTACTCTGTTCCTCCTCTTCCCAATCACAGTGTTTTTTCCTTTTTTGTTTTTTTTTTATTATAGGTACATGTATATGAGCATATTAGAATTAATCGTTTGATTTTATTGGTTTTTTTTTTGTATTTTAAATATACGAGTCCGATCATATTAAATTAAAATTGTACAGAGTTTCTTATTTGTGAAATTACATTATATCGTTTGGGTTACTAGAAGAAACAAACGAAATTTTCTCGAATTAACGATATCCCAAGGAGGCGAAGCAACACATCTGCCCCAATAACGTATGTTTTTTGTTAAACCGAATAATTAACGAAATTACCAAGCAAGTACAGCGCACCCTATCAGAAATAACAATGGCAAGCTAATAATGGATGAAAAACTCAGCTCGACTGCTAAATATATGTATATTATAAAATTTTTGGAACAATTATACAGAATTGCTTAGTGAGAAAAAAAATAAGACACAATTTGCGAAGAGCGGACTCCATTCCAAGAGTATCTATCAAGCAGTTACATTTCGACTCAAAGGCGAACAAATGTTAGAAAAGTGAAAGAAATAAATCTAAAAAAATAATTCGCCTGATCCAAGTGCTGTACGTTAAAAACAAGCTCGCAGTAGTATTTGAAAAGAAAATGCATAACCGAGATTTTCTTTACCACCTAATAAGTTAGCAAACCATTTTATTCTTACATATCATCTGTCTGAATAGGAATCGCATATCTCGGAAAACTTGTCAGACTTATGGACTCGAAATAAATGTCAAAAAAACCAAAGCAATAGTTTAGGGAATAGAATTTATCAGCAGTTTCTGATATTTGGACAATATCGTAATTACCTGAAGTCTGCGCCAAGAAGCTATATAGAATTTAGGCTGAAGGAAACTTCTGAATAAGGGGCTCTTTTAATCATGTATTTCACACACATAAACACACATCCATATTATAATCTTTATAAAACTTATTAAAATATCTATTTAATCTGTGTATACGTATGTATAATTACAATATTATGTAATTGTGCTTGTTGAAAACCACGTTGTTTTACTACAATATATTTTCAATATCCTCATTCTATTACACAAAAACAAAGAAGGAGGGGGGTTTAAAAAAAAAATAACAAATAAATAAATGAAGACAATAAAGGAAGCATAATGACGAAAGTAAATATCAAAATAAAAAGGAAAAAAAAAATATAAAATAAATTTTTTTTCGTATAATTTTTGGGCGCATCGATTTTTTTTACACGTTTATAGTTTTTTGCTCTATTATCATATTTTTTGTTTTGTGTTACAAGTTTATTGTTATAATAATGTTGTGATGGTATTATGAACCCCTTCTTTATCTCTATTATTTTTTCTAATCGTTGTGTATGTATGTATTTGTTTAGATAAATGTGTATAATAAAATATGATTGTGTTATGTAGCACGTACATTTTAATTTAATTCATAAGTAAATTAAGTTTTTCATATTTTTAGTCGTAGATAATAAGATTAATTTTAATGGAATAATAATTATGAAATCTATATAACAATCAAAATTTAAGATCTGTGAAAAATTTTCTTACCCCTTATTAGTATTTTCTAAGAAATGTGAGTTTTTTTAAGAACTGACATAGTTTTTTCTATATTCATAGTAATTGTCGCATTGATCTAGTGGACTAATTATATAATTTATTAAGATATTTAAAATAAAATTAATTATAAGTTAAAATTTGAATTGAAATTCTTGGGGGCCTATTTAATATTATGAAAAATGTTATACAAATTTTAATAATCTTACAACGAAATTATTTCTCAATTGTTTTTCCGAATCTACAATTGGTATGTACACTCAATGCAATTGATTTGTCAAAATTAATTACAAATATATTTTTCTCTTTATTAAACCTAAAATTATATTAAAACTTAAAACTGTTATACAATTTAAAAACAATGTGAACTTTCTATAATTGCGATCAATAGTATTTCAATTTAGACCATAACCCAGTCCTTGAATGCCTACTGTGAATGAGTAGAGTTTTATTAGCTAGTATAGAAGAGCGAATTTGCTGACAAAATTTATAGTACTTAAAAGTCAAATTTATCAGTTAAAGGGAAACGTCAAATTTTTTCTTGTATTTATTTCCAAATTCATGTTGTGACCCTTTTCTCGTATACATAAATTCAAAATACTTATGAAACATTGTTTTATGTATCACATATATTACGCGTATAACACCTAATATAATTGTATAATAATTTTATACACGCACATAATATTTTACAACTTAAGATTAACTGTAATTATTAAATCGTTTTTATACTCTTTTTTTTTTTTGCACAAATAATATTTCCCTCAGATAAATGAAAATTCTGTTATAATAAAAACATTTTACCCAATCTCTATTTCCTCCTTCCTCCTCTCTTTGATAATATTCAACCATTTTTTTTCCATTCTCTTTATTTAATTTACCAACAAATCTCTCTTTTTAGTTTTTCATTGCCCTTATTTTTTTATGTTTTTTTTTTTTCACATTCATTTCATATCATTAATTTAATGTTACGCCTTAATTTGAATGTGGTTACAAAAATTGAAGGCCTATTATAATTTTATCAGGTTCAGGTTCCTCTCTTTTTTTTATGTTTTTTTTTTTCTCTGTTTCTATTTTGTTTTTTATTTTCTACATGTTTTTACTACTTAGAATATTTATTGTTGTTGTTATTCCTTTGTTTTTTCCCAGCATTTTTGTTTTGAAAATTTTTATATTCTCACCATCCCTCTCCCCCCTATATATGGTATAAATATCCTTCTATCGTTATTATACACATTTTTCTCTCTAGAGGTTGAAAACAAAAAATAAGGTAGCGTAATAAAACAGAGAAAAAAATAAATAGAAAAACATGAAAACGAAAAAAAAAACAATAATTCCCAAAGTAAAAAGTGATTTCATATTTTCGTGAAAAAAAAACAAAAAAAAAACAAATAAAAATAAAACGTAAAAAGTATTGCGGTTTAACGTATACCATAGTTGAATCAAGGTTTATGTGGTGTGATTTGTGAAAGAGGAGAGGGGAGAGCCGAAAGGGACTGGATTGGGTGTTGTAAAACATAATAATAAAAAAATAAAAACAACAAGGGATAATTAATGTTATTCGTGGAAATTTTCAAAATTATTAACTTTTCAACAAAAACAGGTTTTTGAATAGAAAACGGGAATAATTTATGAGTTTACGTTTTTTTTTGTTGTGTTTCTTTTTTTCCCTCGTTTTCCGCTTTTTCATTTTTGTATGTTTGTTTACATATGATATTTATGTGTGTGCATAATTTTATACACTTTAATTTCCTTTTTTTTTTTTGTTTTTGATTTTAATGCGTATGGGATTTTAATTCATGCACATTGTATACAAAACAAAGTATGTCTGCACATTCATAGCCACGTATGCTAATAGCTACACGGGTATACTTTGTTGTTTTAGAGAAAAAATATTTACTGGTACATGCATAATTTGCATTTTACTGGTAATTGGTATATTTTGCAGGTAACTAAATTAGTAATGGAAAAGTGGGTTTTAAACATTCTTAGGCGGCTTATGGAATATCTAAAGATTAAACCAAATATTTAGAAATACTAATTGAAGAACATTTAACATCTATATATAAAGTAATATAGAGGAAATAAATTTGAAATCTATAAGTCACTGGTTCACCAATACAACCCCTAAATAAAAAACTTATTGAATATATGTAAACAATTGGATCATACACCAAAAATGTCCGAACACTTAATATAGGAGAGCTAGAAGAAGGGTTGTAATACATTTTCAGAAAAAATATGGGAGTAAATCAAAAATTTCTCGTAATCTAGAATAAGAGACGATTGCTCCCGTGAGAATCGATTTTTTAATTGAAAACAAATCTATAATAATAAGGTGTATATATATATTTATGTATATACATGCATGCCTGTAAATATTTTCAAAATGAAAACAATTATCGCATTAAATTTAATTTAGTTATGTATATTTTTCACCTACTTGTTTTTTCCAATGAAATTAAATGTGAGAGTATGAAAAATATTTTTCGAATAGTTGATGTTAAAAAAGTGACTGTCATCGAATTACATATAAAATTTTATTTTGTAGTACTAGATTGATGAATTTTGGTTTGAATTTATTGTCGTCATCTAATTGGCACTTTTACAATTTTTAATATAACTATTTTCGTCATAAATCCAAATGAACCAATTCATATTTTAAGTACAGCTAATTTATATTTATTAATTTATGGTTTGTAAAACAGTACATTTCTCTATAACAATTTATAAGTAAGTCTTGAACTTTTATTTACACATAGGATTAGTTTTAAGTAATAAAAGCGATCTATTGAATAATAGAGCAGGTTTGGCAAGAAGAAAAAATAAAAAACAAATTGAAAGAAAAGATACTTATAAATCTGCCGAAGAAAGGCAATCTTCAAGGCTGCGCAAATTGGGGATGCGCGGTACATAAGGTGCCGTTGCTGAGTATCATGAGCAGAATGGAAAAAAAAATAGACAAAGTACTCGGAGAAGAGCCAGCCGAATTACGTTAGAACAGAAGCTGCATAGAACACTCTAACACACTTAGAATTATCATAGACCAATTTAACGACCAATGAATTCGTCGATTTCGAACAATCATTTGTTAAAATGAAACATAAAGCATTACACTATAAGGGCATCCCCAGGAAAATTGTAAATAACATTAAGGCCATATACAAGAATACGAGTTCCAGGGTTTTACATGACCGCCACCTGTGCACACCTATTCTAGAAAAAGAATTTGACTATTGCCTGCTTTAAGGTTGTCACTACTCATTGTGTTCATTCCCAAGAATTTCGTTTTGTTGGTGAAAAAGAAAAAAATTTGAAATCATTCAGTTGTTATTCTTATAATTCTCAGAGAAAAATATTTTTAAAAAATTAAAAATTTTAAATTTTATTTTTAATTAATTTAATTTAAGAGCATAAGTTTTGATTTTTGTTTAGAACTGAGTAGAATTAAATATTGAAACTTGATTCTATCTCTTTTACACTTTTGGAGAGCTATAACTTGAAAAGTAAGGCAACTATGAGGAAATATTTACTAAGAAATAATGCCTTCTATATAAGATCTCTGTCCTGTACCGTAGTTACACTATCCGCCTACAGGTTTTGTAAACATCAGACGACTGTTAATTAGACTGTGAAACTATTAGGGAAAATTTTTTTTTCCAAAATATTTTGGCAGTGTGCCAATAAGAAGTACGTTTAAAGGGATAGCTACTATTTATATTCAATGTAATTTTTATACATTATGTATAACAATTATTATTTGTGCATAATGACAATGTTACTATATGTAGATAATTAATTAAATATTTTTTTTTGCCCATTCATTTATTGCTTTTTATAAACATTGGTGTAAGTAAATGTGTTTATGCAAAAATGTTGAATGTTTTTTAATTGGTAATTTTTGTTTCATATTTTTAATACAATTAAAATATTTTTGTTTTTTAATATTATTTTCAACATTTCAACATTAAAATTATAATTAATTGTATTATCTTGTAACCAATTAAAAAACGTTTAGTCATTTTATACTTATACCTTTATTTCATATGAACTTTTTGGTAAAATTTTCTTTTTTGATAAAATTTACAAAAAAAAAAAAATTTTTTTTAAAATAATATCACCAATTAATGTACATATACGTTATTATATACAGTTACTCCAAAAATTATTTGTGCATAGGGAAATTCTGATATACACACATATGTGCCGCCAATCAATTTTTTCAAAAAATATAAAAAATTCATCATATTCCAAACATATTATTAAATTAATATAGAAAAGAAAGAATTAGGTTAAGTTAGGTTAGATTAAATTTACGCGATTCCCAGAAGGAGTGTCCGGAATAAGGACCGTATTATTCTGTTGTATAAAATTATACAACTTCTTAAGCAACTGCAGCATAACTACACAAATTTAAACAAAAAATTTTTAAGATATTATTTTATACTTGCAATTTGAATATTATAAATGATTAACTATATTTGTTCCATGATTTTAATTTGGTAATATATTTCGAATTAAATTCTTTTTTGCAAAATTACAGTTGATTATTGAACGCAATATACATAAAAATTTGTATATGTACAAATAATTTTTAGGATGACTGTGTATGCATATTATATAAAATACCTTTGAAACTATATACATATACATATAAATAATGTACCTCATATGTAGCATGTAAATAAATTAAGTGGGAAAGAAATTATAATAATAATATTTATAAAATATATATAATAAAAAATTATGCTTGTTTTCATGTACATATGTATGTGTGTATGGAAAATATTATAAAAACAATATGAAACAAAAAGAGAGGAAATCCTTTGTTATTGTAAAAAAGAACAAAAAACAATACTTATATTCGTGTTATTTCATTAATTTTCAGCTCTTAATTTCATTAAATAACTGAAAAACCTCAAAATTAAACCACTTAATAATGAATTTACAATTTATTTTTTATTTTATTTTATTTTTTTTATTGTATTGTTTTCATTTGTTTTTCAATAATATTTTTAATATTATATATTTGTTACATTTTATAATATATATATATATATAATATAGGCATATATATATATATATATATATATTGACACTGTAATGGGCGAGTATATAACATGTAAACAAGTTCATTCAACAATTTATGTAATTCGTGTAGTATGAAAATAATATTTCACATAGAAAATTTAAATGAGAATTTCGGAAAACTCATGAATATTATTTATTAAGTATTGGATGCTCATTGGTTATTTGCAGCTATTTATTACGGCTACATGTTCTACTGCACTTCTACTACCTCAAAAGTGAAATGTGTGAGTTTTCCAAAAAAAATTTTAATAATTTTCTAAATAAGAAAAAGTGTTGTTGCTTCAATAAATAATGGAAGATTAGATTTAAACAGTAACTTAATATGTGCTATTATGGCATGTGCTCGATTGACCCTGCTCGGGCGCCATTTAAACTTTTATTCTATTTATAAAGTGGAGGATAATATTGAATGAAAGATAAAACTAACCAACTAGAAATTTGTTACATATTTTTGTATCATGTCCTAAGAAAAAATTTATAAAAAATTTTCATACTTTTAGGAATAAATTTAAAGATCTTCGAAAATTCCACAACTTTTTGGCTAAAAATTACAGTAAATAATAGCTATTTGTAATAATTATAATAAATATTTTTAAAAGTAACTTTTTTAAGATCATAATAAAAACTTACCATAACGTAATGCCTTTGCATTTCTGTTTTTTCATTAGCTAATTTTTCACACTCTAATTTTAATCTGTAAAAATAAAAAAAAAGGAGAAAAAACAAATTACAATACATTTTTCAGTCAACATTTACTCTTAATTAAGTATGCTATAGGGAATAAAAAGAATACTGGAAAATGAAACATTGCAATTTACTTTATGGAAAAAATTTAGCTTTTTTTTAAAAAATTTCACAAAATTTATTGCTTATTAAGAATTGTAGCAAAAAACTTTAAAGTAATTCGGAAGAGCTAAATCTAAGATTTTTTTACTAAGATTAAGCTCGGGGCGACGATAAGAATATTTTTTGAAGACAAAACCTCCCATACAAACAGTTTTTTTCCAAGAAAATATAAAAAAACTTGTTGAAAGTGGATCTGATCTGGGAAATTATTAAGAGTAATAAAAAATAGAAAATAAACCTATCCTGTTTTCTTCTTTAAAATTTTTCAGGAATTCGATAAAGTCATGTAGTACTACAATTATATTAAAAACTTGAAATTCGTTTAAACTTGTTAAAAAAAAAATATTTTTCTGAATTACTTCTTTGCTAATTACAAATTCAACTTGGGTATTAGTTGTTATAAAAAAAAAAAAATTGCATACTTTTAGGTGAAAATTAGGTGAAAATATTATAAAATTCTTAATGTTAGTTAAAAATACTTACGTATGATACTGTGCCTGTAAAAAATTAAATTCCTCCTTAATTCTTTCTAATGTATCCACTATAGTAAATTTCAGAGGGCCCTGTGGTGGTGGACCCTAAAAAGACAAAAAAAAAAAAAACAAAAAAAAATTAATAAATCAATTAATAAATCATTTTTTTTTTCAATTAATTAACAAAAATTTCAATTTTATTATCACATTAATTTGATCTTTTTATTTATTTATATGTATAACAAAATATTTTGAATAATTTGAATTATTTCTCATACGTATAACATTAAAGTAAAATATTCGTAGGAAAATATTTTTAAAATCAAATACAAACATACACACAATCATACCTATAAATTATAATAAAAAAATTATTAATTCAACAAGAAGAAGAAAGGGAACTAAAAAAAAAGGAAAAATATTTCAAATAAATGATTTACCATAAAAACCGTAATTTTTTATTATATCAATTGTATAATATGCATTTTATGTACCTATAAAGAAAAAAATTTTATGTATACCCTACATACATATATACACTTGTGTAAGCAATAATATATTCATATATAATGTATGAATGTATGTGAAAACAAAAAATATTTGTATCAAATTTCCAATAATCTTACCCACCAGAAAAACCATTAACTCATTTTTTTTTCCTACTTTCTCAATACAGATATATATTAAAAACATCTTGTATAACACATTTCTGCACCCCATATAATACATTATATTATTATACAAAATATAATAATAATAAGAAGAAAAAAATGTGCCCCAAAAGACACAAAAAAAAAACTTTATAACCTTTTTCACCTCAGGATAAATCGACACAAATCAACATCGTATATATACCATACACACATTAACACACCTATTTAACACAAATTTTCATAAAATATATATTTCTTTTTTTTTGTTCTACATGTATATAAAATATGTACTTGCACATTATATACATCATCATATTTGATACACAAAAAAAAATTGTATATCCTTACATGTGCACATACATAAATTCATAAAACAATAATATTCCGCTAATATACAGTTACATTACATTCTAAATAATAGCATTCTTAAACAGTTATGAAAGTTATTTTATATTTTTTTTCTTTTTTATTATTTCTTTTATTCATAATTTTATTATTATTTTCTGTTGTTGTTGTTTTTTATTGTTATTATTTTTTCCTCATTCCCTTATCAAGGACGAAGACGACGTCGACGACAAACAATATCGGAATAACAACCAAAACAAATAAAAAAAAGACAAAAAAAAAATTTAAAATAAATGGTTATATATTCACCTCTCTTGATATGGGGACAATTGGTAATGGTTTTTGTCTCATTTTTTTTTTGTCATTTTTTACTGGCATCGAACAAAACAAGAAAAAAAATTCTTTGCTACCATTTTTTGTTTAGCAGTAGCATGAATCTCATCTTGATATAAATGTCAATTCTCTTTCCCCTCACCTTCTTTCTCTCTCTCTCACTCACTTTTGCTCTCTTGTAATACAATTTCTCTTTGAACTGTTCGTTGTTTTGTGTTTTACATGTCTCATATTTTAACACAATAACAAATTCTATTTTCTTCTTTAAACACAAAAAAAAAATTTAACCTCAAGGGAAAAAGAGGTAGGGTTGAAGAGAGAAAATTGAAGAGAAAGAAAAACAAATGAACAAAACTCAAAAATGAAACATGAAAAACAGGAAAAAAAAGAAAGTAAATAAAAACTTTGAATGTAGAGAATAGAGAAAGAAGAAATGAAAAATGTGAAGAAAAAACAAAAAAAAAGAAAAACCCGAAAATTGTGTATACAAACAGAGGAAAAACTTGTCATGTCTTCATCACAAAAAAAAAAAAAAAACAATATTAAAAAACAATAATAAAATAAAATGGAGAAAAAAAAACAAATGAATTTTGGTTTGATAGTATAATGCAAATGAAAAAAAAAACATAAACAGAAAAAAATAATATAAAAAAGTTTTGTGGCGTTAAAATTATAAAAATATCCTTGTTAGGGAAATATGAAAACCGAAATAATAATAAAAGTAGACAAAATGGGAAAAAAAAAATTTATACCCATGGCAGCTCACTTATTTCCATGACTTATTTTATTCTTTTACCAGATTTTACATTACTCTCGCTCTCTCTTTCCTCCACCCTGTCCAGTACCCCAACATATATATATATAATATTTAAAATTTAAATTGTATATTCAACGCTTTCCATAATATTTTACTTGGTACATTCCCGTTTATTAAAAGAAAAATGGTTTGAAGAAACAAATAATTAATTCAAGATTTTTTTTTTGTAGTATTGCCGCTTCTGAGTGGAAAATATTTGCTATTTTATTTTAATTTTCTCTTTATAATAAAAATAAATTCAAATTAAGATTAAATATATTATTTTTATAATTAGTTTTTGACTGTCTATTTGTCATTTTAAAAATTAATATAAATACCATATTTATTTTGTGTTTATGGCAAGGATGAAGAGTAAAATGTCAAAAATTATTTTATTTGCAGAAGTTCGAAAGCTCTTATAACATATATTACTAATACTCTAGAATAAGTATAACAGTGTGAAGCAATTTACTTGATTTTTTAGAAGAAAAGTTTATGGACCATATAGGACCAAAAATTTGAATCTTCTTTAATTTCGAATATTTATAAGATGTAAAGGTTCTGTGAATATAGACAAAAAATTTAATGTGTAAATATTCCAAGAAAATCCTGAATTCCTGAAAATTTTTAAACAATTCATAGCAGTTTTTAAATTATTAAATTTAAAATAAAAATTAATACTAATGATTTTAAATACAATTTTTTTATAATAATAAAAAAATTTTTCATTTCTTCTAATAAAAAATGTTAAAAAAAGAATGTAAAATAAAAATGAAAAAATTGCATACTTTCAGGGGTTATTGCTAATACATCGAAATTAAATAGTAATTTATTCTACTAAAATACTTTATTGTGAAAAACTATTATCCTGCCAAAAAGAAAAATCGAAAGAAAAAGCAAGAAAAAACCAACCAAGAGAAAAAAAAAATTCTTTTTTTTACTCATTCCATTTTTGTCTCCTTGGTTTTTTATTCCATAATTCGTTTTTTTTTTTTTATAAGCTGTATAAATATGGGCAATGGAAAATGACTTATTTTTCTTAAATTTATTTTATAAAAACAATAAAAAAAAACAACATCAGAATCAGAAAAAAATTAAAATTTTTTTTTTGACTCATATTTTCCCACCGCAACCACAAAAGTTAAAATGTTTTCATGTTCCGCCTTATACAACGATATAACGATATTATTATAGATTTATACACATATACTCATACATACATACTTATAGTTTTTTAATATTATTATTCAAATTTATATGGTTATTATATGATTCTCGTATATACATATATATGAGAATAAATTTAGCTTTCTACTCTTATATACCAGAAAGTATGAATAACATAAAAATTATAACTGATATATATACGTGTACTATAACAAAAGCTAGTACTAGAATTAACTATTATAATATAAGCACATATTATGTGATATATATATGGTATATGTATATATATACATATATATCATGTACTCCATAAAATGTTCATTGTAGAATTAGTGGCGCTTTTCTCAATTCTGTTTTTAATATTTTTTCTTCATTTTTTTAACGATTTTATATTCCTTTCTTGCTTTCTTCTTATCCATGTATTCATTTATATTTATTCTCTGAAAATTTCTCGTTTGAGAATTTATCAAATTGACGATTTCAAAACGAGTATTTTCTATATTTACTATTATAATAAAAATGATAAAAATATTTTCTCTTTAAAAGAGATTAAAAAATTTTTCTCTTTTATTCATTTTCTGTTATTCATGGTGGAAAACGTATGCGTGCATTTTAAACAATGAGAACGAAAATTGTTTTTTTTTTTAAATAAATTGAGAATTGAGTAAAAATTATTCTCATATAATATTGAAAGAATCGAAAAAAATAAAATAATAAGCAAACAAGCAGAAGAAAAATAAATGGATGGTTTTATTAAAAAAGTTTATGGTGTTTATGTGTGTATGTAATGGTGATGTCAAATTCGAAGATATACACGGTGCAGTAAAGTGGAGTGATATGGTGAAGTAAGGTGGAGAGACAAAAGGATATATATGTGGAGAATGAGATTATTAATAATAATAATAATAACAATAATGGAGTTGGTGAGAAAGATATAGCTTATTTCCTGAAAATATTTTCGTTATGTTTTGTTTTTCTCATTTTTCTTTTTGTTATAATCTTTTGCTCCTTCTTATTTTTTGTTTTTCTTTTTTATTTTATTGGTTTATTGTTTCGTTTCACATGGGGTTTGTACTTTGTAGAATTATTTTTTAATTTTTTTTTTTCAAATTTTTTTTTTTTTGTTCAAACCAATAGAAGGGAAACAATGGGCGATGGGCGATGAATAGAATAAGTATAAAAGAATAAAAGCAAAAAATGTATATATAAAAAAGCAATAATAAAAATAATAATAAAAGGAGCAAAAAAAAATGTTCGAGAAGTTGACGGTTAAGTATATGTTTGCACTTAAGGCAATTCATTCATAAAATTTCAAGTTTTATAGAATTTTTTTTTTTTCATTTTTAATGATCAGAGACCGAGATAAAAAAGAAGAGGAAATTATAGGGTTGTATTTTTTTTTTTTAGTGTCTGTAGTTTAAATTTGGCATTATATTGTTAAATGTTATATGCATAACGATTTTATTTTCTGTCTCTTTTTTTTTTTTAATTTTTGGTTTCTTTTTTGTTGTTGCTTTTAAAGTAGTTATAAACGTTTAAAAAGGAAATATACAGCAGGAAATAATCATAATTTATATTGCTTTTTCTATATTTATATAAGTTATTATTATTAATACGATATTAAATGAGTATATATTTATGAGTATAACAGTTTGTCTGAATATAATATTAATAAATGTGTGTATGTATATATATACTTATAATTTTAATATTATAATGTTTTTATAGTTCTCTTGTTTTTCTTGCGATTTTAATTTTGTTTTCTCATTTTAAACTCATATATGAGTACAAATCCATAAAACGTATATCAA